ACACCCACAATTATTTCCACAACATTTCATCTGAAGATATTGACCAACTGCTTCCAGAACTTTATTGATGAGTTTTACCAAATGGTCCTTCTTGTAAGTTTTAAATCATTAAAGCAGTGTGTGTCTGTTTTTGAAATACTGCACCGTGTTTTGTTCCTTTCTCCACATGTGTATATAAATGGGATGAAGATACCCTGAGTGGAAGCACTTATTTATGAATTCTCATCTACACCCATCTGTGCCTATTATAGAATGTTTTCTTGTGAATTTAATCAGTTAATATTAAATTATTTTAACACCTATACTCTACTACTCTATGTGTCCTATAGATTTTGTATCTGTACATTAATGTTGTTGTGGAGTTTTGTATACAATGATATAGAGGAGCCCTGTCCTTTTCTACAGAGTTCACATCCTTTAAAGGTTAATACCTTTGTTTATTGATTGATTTTTACACTGTCAGGTAAAATGTGTGTGTGAATTGTTTCTATTTCTATAAAGAGTTCAAGGTGTTGCTTTGGCTTCCAAATTCCAAAGATGTCAATCTGATTGAGCATCTGTGGGATGTGCTGGAATAACAAATCCAATCCATCTTGCAGGACTTAAAGGCTGCTAATGCCATGGTGCCAGACACTATGGGACATATTCAGAGGTCTTGTGGAGTCCTTACATCGAGGCATCAGAACTGTTTTGGTACGATAGAGACCTACATGATACTAGGCATGTGGTTTTAATGTTATGGCTCATCAATGAAGAAATACAAACTTTAAAGGCTTACTTAAAAATCAATACATACAGGGTTATTCACTAAAGTGAGAATTCAAAATAAATTCTAAGAGAATTTCAAATTCAAGGCCATATTAGCTGAACTAAAAGATAGCTAACTTTATTCCAGTTCAGCTGTATTAAACTTAAATGTGAAAGTCACTTTAAATTCACCTTCATTTTTCTCTTTAGTAATTAACCCTACAATAAGACTTGTACAGGGCAAAAAAAATAAGTTCTTCTATAACACTTTGTAAAAAAAAAAAAAATCGAATTTTTTGTTTATGTAGCTGTTTGTTTCAGCCAAATTTTGAAAAAATATTAATGAAATCCACAATCCATAAGGGGTTATGACTATGCTACAATATTGCATAGCATAATAGCTACTTTTCTAAATACAAAAAAGACAAAATGAGATTGCGTAAGAGGCATTGGAAGAGAGCTTAGTTTTAGAATGACTGATTGTAATATTTTTTCCTTTTTTCCATTTTTTTAATCCAAAAATTAAACGAAAAAGTGAGTGGGCAATTTCCCATCCACTCACTTCTTCCACCCTGTCAAGTATAAAGATTTCTCACTCAAGTCCAGTCTGTAGTGTGAGTGAATGTCCTTCAAGTTTTGTTGTTGCTGTTTTTTTTAAAACTCTGCCCATGTGACAGCAGGAGTTATATAATTGAAAATAAGGGGATTTCAAAAATTAAAGGTTTGAAAAGGTAAGTGGGTCATTAATTGCCTATACATTTTTTCCATTAATTAATAAAAAAAAATAAAAAATAAAAATCCCATTCTAAAATTAAATTTCACTTGTTGTTGCTGCACCCTCTGTTTTTAAACACCTATCAATGAAGTAGTTTTGTCTTGTCTAGTTGAGTCATTTTTCTAGTTGAACTCATTTTTTTTCATGGTCATTTATTTTCTCCTTTGAAAAAGAGGTCAGTGTGAAAAAAAACAAAAAACAGTGGCCCGTCGGCTTCTCCCAAATGCACTGAGGAGGTAGCAGGCACCGCAAGATTTAGGAAGGCAGTGCAATACCATTACAGTGAAAGGCTTTAGAAAAAAGAGGGTACAGTAGGAGTAATTTAATAATTTTTTTCAGATGGGCGAACAAGAGGATAGACACCAGCACCACCACATTGTAGAATGTTTTTTTTCCTAGAAAAAGATTTCAAAAAAGAGCTGTCACATGTGTGCAATTGTTTACGTGTGCATTAAACTGAAGCCCACTGTTTGCATATTGTGAATGTTGCTTCATACTAACGCCAATGAGATGATCTTTCACTCATATGCTACTCACATCTTTGCCCTACAATTCTCACTTTGCAAGTTGACCTTCTTGGAGGCACTTAAAGTGATCCCGAGGATTGGCACAGAGTTCTGAGCTGCCTAAGTGACAAGTGCCACGGTGCAAGCAGAAACACTGAACTTACAGACTACTACCATCATGACCACTATTAAAAGCATAAGTGGTTATGGTAGTTAGGAGTAACCATTTAAATATATTGTTATAGAGTGGTTTTAGAAAAAAGAGAGATAAAAGCTGAGGTTAGGTAAATTAATTCAAAACAAAATCAGCAAGAAATGTAAGCAACACAAAATGATGTAGCAGACAACATCTTAAATTCAATTTTCAGATTAACATTTCCATTTAAAGGGTCCAAATATAAAGCAATAGCAGTCTGTGTTAGGCAAGCTTAATGATTCAACATCAAATTAATACTATGAAACAAACTTATTAACTCAATGCATTAACATGTTTTAAGATGTTTGTTAAATAAAAAATGTATATAAAACAATTTGCAAAATAACAGTTTTGCTTAGAGAATAAGAATGCTTATTACTTGCAGTTGAAAATGCCCAAGATGCGGCACAGTTCTTTTGATCTAAGGGTCCATGTATGTACTGAGGCCATTTATATGAGGAAATAAAGAACAATGGAAATTCTTCATCCAAGGACACGCGACCCTACAAACAAAAGCTCCAGTTGATTAGAAATCATTTTCATTTTACTGACAAATGAAAATTACACAGCACATGAACAGATCCAAGACTTTATGCATTGCATTTTAGCTATAGAGATAAAATCAGAATTCAAATTACTGATACTTTTGACTACACAAGATTCTAATTTTGATAGATAGACTGACAGAAAGTAAAATCTATACATCCATCCATTCATACATCCATCCTTCCCTCTAAATTTATTCAATATTGAAAGAGACCAACAGAAGAAGAATACAGAGAAAGCCTGTATTGTATGAAAAAGGAACTGTATAGGTAAAACAAATGCATATTCCTTTATCCCCGGAACAGTAAACATACTGTCACTAAAAGTTTTTTTCCCTTAACTAGTGTAAAAATTAGCTGAAGAAGTACCTGTTTTAATTTTTACTTTGGTCAGATTTACTGCATCCCTTCTGATTTAATGTAATTTCCCCCTTTACTTTTTACTGTCTCCCTGCTTCCTGTATTGCAGCCAGACTGTCCACCAATGGCCACACACACACTCTCTCACTCTCTCTCATCTATATCTCTCTCGATTAACAGGCTGAAGGGGTTAACAGTGAGTAGAGAGGTTGGCTTACAGGAACTGGCAGGGGAGGAGAGTTAACAGTGGGTAGGGAGGTTGGCTGACAGGGAAGGGGATAACACTGGTTTGGGAAGCTGACTGATAGCCAGGTGTGCGAGCTGTGTGGCAGGGTTTTTATGGAAGGGGTGACAGGGGTTTTGTAGAAGAGGAACAGGGTTTTTGTAAAAGGAGGGACAGAGTTTTGTAGATTGGGGCGGCAGGATTTTTTTGTAGAAGAGGAAGCAATTGTTTTTTTGTAGAAAGGGAGAGGGTTTTTATGTAGAAGGGGGCCTGTTTTTTTGTGTAGAGGGGGAGCTAGGGGTTATGTAGATTTGGGGGGCAGGGTTTTTTGTAGATTTGGGGGGCAGGGGTTTTGTAGAAGGGGATGGAGGCAGCAGATTGTGAATGGGCCTGAAAGTGGCTTTTGGTTCTCAAATTCATATTTTTAAGTCAAGACACAAATGCGAATTTTACTACCAAATTACAGTTTATGTATGCCTGACAATGACATTACCTGAGCAATTAGTCTATGGTGCTCTGATTTTGCTAATGATTTTGTGGATTATACCATTAAGCTGCAGCAACGCTGTCACCATCTGGGGATTTTGCTGAAGACCCCCGATGGTACATCCATTCTGGGAGTCTGGGTGGGGGCAGGTAAGGTGAGATTTACTTACCTGAATCTGTCCCTCGCAGGTGCCGCCATCTGGATCCCATGGGCCATCTTCAGCTTCTGGCACTTCAGCTAGTATGGAGGGGGGAGCAACAAGATTGTCTCGCACAGGGTACCTGATCACCTAAGGCCAGTCCTGCTGACAGGGACTGGGAGAGAATGTATTACTTGCATTACAGGGAGGGAGGGAAACTCTGCATTGCAGTCTGAGCTATGAACATTCCTTACACTAGAGAAGACATGCCTCTATTTTCATTGGCTGAAACAGGTATGTTTCTTTCAGAGAATGACAGTCAGGAACATATTGAAATGTGAGAGGAGGTTGTCTAAGGAGGCTGGGTTACACTACTGAAAACAGCAAGAAATTTCACAGCACTGCAATAAAACTACACAGAATGAAAGGAAAAGAAACAAACTATAGGTATTTGAGCTTATTAGCGTTAATTAAACTTAATTTGCTTAGCTGCCTGGACTGGCAACAATCTGTCCAAATTCCTGAAATGTGTCAGTGTGGAAGTCCCAGAAAACAAATGCGCTAAATTGATGGCAACTGCTGAAAATAGTGTGACTCCCACCAGTATCAAGCAGATTGGACCATGTATCTTCTGCAACTGCCATAAGATTAAAGGAACCCTAGGGTACCTTTTCCTTAGCCCTACATTTCTCTAACTCTAACATTAACCATATAACTTTATGTAATATGGTGATGAGTATATGAAGAAAAAATAATCCCATATTAGGGTTCTGGAGATAAGTACATTTTTCTAGTATTAAACTGTTCACTAATAAGTATACAATCTCAGACTCACTTTCTCTAGCTGTACACAGCCAATTTATTAAACAGCACAAAAACATTGTAATAAACCAGGTACAAAATATCCAAAATATGGAAGGATACATATAAACCAATGGAACAGAAACTCATGAAACAAGCTTATTAGTTCTTTACTATACATATAAGAATGATTACAAAAAGCTTACAGTCATTTCATTCATGCTGAGTAAAGCAGGGGAAGGAGATGAAGTACCCAGGCGATAGTCAAATCCTTCACTTAAGGTCATCCCCCAGAAATCACTGTGATTGTCTGCTTTCCATCTATGCAACCAAAAATATGACATTAACCACATCACTGTTACAAGTTATTTTTGGTAAAAAATATTAGCGTTACCCTGATTTAAATAAATTGGATGCCTAATTAACATATAAACATAGGATAAAATAGATATTTTGTATTGAGAATGCTGTACTTGGATATAGAGATACAAATTTACACAATTTTAAAGGGACACTACATTCACCAAAACAATCATTTATGAGATCAATAACTTTTGCATGAAAACAAATTGGTTTAATTTTCTTTCAGATGTAACTTATTTGAAATGCTTTTATCTCCTGCTCTGTAAACAGATCTTTAGTTACATGAAGGAGGCTCCTAGCAGGGGACAGCAAGCTATTAACAGATCTGGAGATTATAAATTCTAAACAGAATTTGCAATAAAGGAAGTCTAAGCATTAAAGTGGCACTGTCATGGCACGCCTACGTTTAGAGCCGGGTCCCCAAGGATGGCACGCCCGCCGTCCTTAAAGGGTTAAATAACATAAAAGTTATAATATATCAGTAATAATAAAAGCAATATTTTAAATGCAGTATTAATTAAATGTTTGAATGTTTTCATATACATGTTTTTAAAGAAAAGAAGTATAACCTCTATTTGATGAGTGCAGAAGTTATTTATTTAAAGCAGGGATGTCCAAAATGTAGATCCCCAGTTATTGTAGAACTACAACTCCTAAGATGCGTGGTATACCTTTGAATGCTTTTAGAATGATGAAGCATCATGGAAGCTATAGTTTAAAACAATCCTTGGATCTACCTTTTTACCACCACTGATTCCAAGGTTCTCTTTACATATTACTACGAAATGTTCCTGTCTTAATTTGAATTGTAGAAAAACAACACTAAATAACACAAATTTTCATTGTTGATCAGAATATCTTATCGGATATAAAATAAGGAAATAATATTAACCTAAAAGGTTAATCTGCCCCTTTCTTAAACAAGATGCTACCAAAGAGCTTGTCCATGCTCCAGTAATTTCCTACATGGATTACTGTGACTATCTCCTAATTGGTCTTCTCAGAAGCCATTTTGCCCTGCTACAGTCTGTAATGAATGCTGCTGCCAGACTGATTTTCCTCTCTAGTCGGTCCTCTCACACCACACCCCTCTGTAAGTCCTTACATTGGCTTCCTTTATCATACAGGAGTCAATTCAAAGTGCTAACCCATACCTATAAAGCACTGAACAATTCTAGCCCCTCTTATATCTATTCACAGATCCATAGGTATGTCCCTTCTCGGTCTCTCCGCTCTTCCCGTGACCTTCTCATGTCCGCTACTCGCACCCGTACGGCCAACTCACGCTTGCAGGATTTTTCGTAGGCGGCTTCCTTCCTATGGAATAGCCTGCCTAACGCCATCAGACACTACCCTAGTCTTCTAACACTTAAGAAGTCAACAGAAAAAACAGTATGTACACCACAGTGTTAAGTAATTGTAGTGGAATATCAAGTATAAAAATCCTTAGCTTAAAGTTAAGGTACAGCCTCCCAAGGTCGCTACCCAAAGAAAAAGACCTTTACAATATATAGAGAACCAAAAACAAATATGCGTGATACGGCTGAAACAAATCTAAAAAGAACATAAAAAATATATATAGTGAAGTACAATTAACACAATCAATCATGCGCTGTACATGAATGCACTCATGAGATTGTGCAGAATGAAATGCTCATAAGGTGCCTCCCCTGATGTGGTGGGGGGCTAGTGTCAATTTCAATTTCCTGTCTAATTTACAATCTCATCATAGAAGGAAATTTGAGGCCATGGTCCAAGAATGGGACAAACCACAACCATTTAAGGGTTTGGACGACTTTAAAAAAAAAAGAAAAACTACTAACCGCTGAGACAAAAAAATGGTGGGAGGTAGCTTATTTAGAAAACTATCTTAAGGAGTGTCTTATACCATGGGGTTTAAGGATAGATAAAATCCTGGTATTGTTACGCTACTTGGGTGAATTGGATTGGAACTCAACTGCAGCTTGTAAACCTCCCTAATTACATTAGTGAAGATACGGAGAAACTTTAAAGTATCAATACTGTAGCTTTAAGAAAAGAGGGAATCGCTGGTAACTTGATTCAAACAAAGTTTTAATAAGTGTTAAACTTAAATGAATTGCATTTAGGCAATAATCCAATAAGAAGTATAAGTAATCAACAACACAAAGTTCATTAATAAGTATTTCCTCAGAGATGCATTAAGTAACTTTCTTTGGTTAATGAGAATAATCTTCACTAGTAATATTAAGCAAGTAGCTGAGAATAGTTGCAAAGCAGGAACAGTTCATAGTTAATAAGCATGATGGGAGTTGTCCTCCATATAATTAGTAGCTTGAAGCACTGAGTGTAATTGCAAAGCAAGAAATAGTTCATAGTGAATAAGCATAGTGAATAAGCATGATGAGAGTTGTCCTCCAAATAGTTAGTAGCTTGTAGTAGTGAAGATTTGAGTAAGCAAGAATTAGTTCATTATTAAATGAGATTGTAGCATAAGTTCATTATTAAATGAGATTGAAGATAATTAGATGAGAGATATACTTAAGGTTAGTAGTCCTCCCATAGTAAAGAGATAAGGTCCACTTGTAAAGTGAGTTTCCGTTCTTCAGCATTCCTCTATATCATGAAGCATACTTGTCTTAACCCGATGGCTAAGACAACATCAGAGCTTGTAGAGCCGGTGTGTCCCAGGAGCCGGCGTGTACACTCAGAAATCAGACCCACATTGCCAGAACCTGTGGAGAGGTAAGTCTGGAAGGAAGTAGCTCCCAGTATCACCAAGCACCCTCTCTCTGGCGTGGTCTCCCTAAATACTGTCAGAGCCGCGTCAGAGGGGGGCGGGGTCCAGCTCCGCATAGCGGTGTGCCGAACCCGGAAGTTTTACCGCATGACAGGCATTTGGGATGACCTTTTCCTACAAGAATGGGACGAAATTCCCACAATTGTTCTATCACTATGATAACCCAAAAAATCACTATAGGACACCAAATAGAGAATCTAGGAGAACATCTCTCGACAATGGAGGTGATATGAGGTCCTATGCCCAGGTTACACGAAATAGAATAGAGGCACATGGAAACACCACCCAATACAATGATCGGGAAATAAATTTTCAGGGGAGACCCAGGGATCCAAAGGAAAAATCTAAAACCAACTATTTCTGCCCCAGGACGGAAACTTGGGAAAACCCCAACAGATTTTCCTCTCTACATCAGGACTCCCCGTAGAAGAGGGTGAGGATGGAGGACTAATTAAGACACCACAGGCCACATATTCACTAAGGAAAAAGGAGACAGATAATGGTATCTTTAATTTAACAGAGATTCTATTGACAGACAAGATCAATCTATTACCTAAGGGAATGAAATTTGCCCCTAATAAAACAGCTAACAATTTCAATCTTTATATAGATAAAGATATTAGATCTTTGACTATTAAGAGACACTTTCTCCTACATCCATCATCTCCAGACACCACCATCAATGCTGTACAGACAAAAACTAATTAAAAATTTCAACCACGATCACATTTTTTTCCAATTCAGAGCAAGGGCCTTTTTTTTTTAGAAACTTTTGAGCATATGGTTGACCAGACATTTCAAGCCTTTACTAAAAAAGATAATAAACTTTACCAAGAGGGAAGAGAGAGTTCTCAAGAACTTAATGGAACGTGATACTCTGGAAACCAGGGAAGCAGATAAAGGGGGTGGCATAGTGTTGATGACCACCTCATATTATTTGGAAAAATCATCTAACATTTTGGGAGATAAGAAAACATACATTATTCTTTCCAATAATCCTACCGTCCATTTTAATTCGAACTTAGGACGATTTTGGAAGAAGCTAAAAATAACGAGATCATTTCACAAAAGATATTTGAATGTTATCCCCATTTTTTATTTTCTTCCTAAAACTCACAAACGTCTCCCTAATCCACCAGGCCGTACCATCACTAGCGGTGTCAATTCATTAACTGCTAACTTATCTGCTTATGCCGACTCCTTTTTACAGAAGTATGCACAGGGGGCACCTTCATATGTTCGAGACACCAAATCCTTTTTACAGGAGCTGGAGAGCATTGAGTGGGATCCGGAATACAGCTGGGCCACACTAAATGTGACCTCTCTGTATACCATGATTAGTCACAGATTGGGATTAGAGGCAATTAACTATTACATGACCAAGGACAATACGTTGTCTGTGGGTCAAAAAGAGTTTGTTTTATCTTTAGTTACATTTATTTTAGATTACAATTATTTCTTTTTTAATGGTGAATATTATTTACAGATTTACACTCTGCGGCCCACAAGATGGCTGACATACCTGACTCTGAAGCGGGCTCCACATGCTCTGATATTCAGCAGGGAGAGTGCATGGACCAAACACAAACAGTCACCTTGGTGGAGACAGTACTCAGAGATGCTCAAGCACCTGCAACAAAGCAGGGCATTCAAGATCTTCTACATTCAAGGTCTTCTACTTAACATGTGGCAAATATTTATAGCAAATCTAGATCTGATTAAGGTGGAAGTGCAGGGGGTGACCACACGCATTCAGGCTTCAGAAGAAGATAACCAAGACACACGATGCAAAGTGTCAAGTATGCGTGAAATCTTATATCAGGTACAGTCCGCACAAGCAACTGTAGCTCTAAAACTGGACTTAATTGAAGACTACAGCAGGTGGGCCAACCTTAAAATTAGACTTGAACGAGCTCCCACATTATCTCAGATGCCTCATGGTAGAGTTACTACCTCCTAATCAAGCTAAACGGTTGGGTTTAATGGATTTTTCCAGATCAATAAATCAGCGCAGGCCCCCCCTGTAATCATCAGATGCCAATCTCTCACAGATAAAAAAAATGCATCCTTTCTGCAGTACGGTGTAAAACACCCTATGAGTTTGAGTCCATACATCTGTCTTTCTTTCAGGACTTGACCAGGAACACGTTACAATGGAGACGATCTATCTGCCCAAATCACTTGCGGCACCTACATTCCTACCAGGTTCGCCCCCACCTACATGAGAAGATGGGAGGAATTGGTTGTGTGGTCGGGGCATGACTGGAGGGAGAACCTGGTGCTATAGTGGCTGTATATTGATGACGTTATTATTATTTGGAGAGGATCTTCAGCTACTTTTAAGGATTATGTTCAGTATCTTAATTCTAATCTATATAATTTGTTTTTTACCCCAGAATGGAACAAAAATGAAATCCATTTTTTGGATCTTGCTCTATTTTGTGATAGGGGTCGGATCCATTCAAAGTGTTTTTTCAAGCCAACTGATTGCAACGGCTTTGTACAGCAACAAAGCTGTCCCTACAAACCATGGCTGAAGGGTATAGCCAAAAACCAATTTACCCGCCTAAGGTGGAATTTCTCTCATTTTCAGGATTTCAAAACTCAATCCTCACATATTAAAAATAAACTCCACGACAAAGGTTACAACAAAAATACATTAGAAATGGAAAATCGTTCCATTGGCTTGTTGGAATGTAACATGTTGTTAGAGGACAACCCGATTTTGCACATTGCTGATACTAATTTTAAATCTGCTTTCATAATACAATACTGATCACCATAAGATTAAAAGAAGTTTACATAATTTCTGGCCCATTCTATTACAAGACCTGGTTCTGGGAACATCTTTATCAGATCGCCCTATGGTGATCTATAAAAAGATCAAAAACTTCAAAAACATGCTAGCCTCTAGCTGTGCTATTAAACAAAATAAAACTTACACCCTGGTAGATTCTGGTTTCTTTAGGGGCTGTGGTTCTTGTAAAGCCTATATTACAACATCTATGGAAAAAACTGTGGAATTTTGTAGTATTGTAGCAAGAGAGGTGTTCAAAGTTAAGTCGGAGATAAGTTGCCACACGGACCATGTAGTTTATTTACTGCAGTGTCCATGTGACAAACAATATGTAGGCCGTACCAAAGGAGCTTTGAAAGTCAGAATACTTGAACATCTGAATAACATCAAAAATAAATTGACCACCCATTCTGTTCCAGCCCACTGTTCCAATTGTCCCTCTTTCACTTTTAGGGATTTTAAGTGTATGGGCATTGAAAAAGTTCTACCTTTTTTGGCATGGGGTCATAGGGTTAAGAAATTATCCCAAAATGGCAGAGGATTGAGCAGTAAGGCTGCAGGGGCATGTTTTATACACCAAAACTGCTTCATTAAGCTAACGTTGTTCAGGTGACTATAGTGTCCCTTTAAACTTTACTCTTAAGGGAAAGTCATCTGATTTTCGACCATTTCTTTCCCATTTATATATATAAGAATGTCCTCCTTTTTTTGCTCTGGACATGGGTATGTGTGCTACTCCAATAATTTTGGGAGATTTTTTAATTTATTTTGAGAACATATTTCTGTTGATATGTTTATTATTATTATTTGGTATTAATTTTTCAGCACTTGTCACTTTAAAATTACTGATGATCATTCCACTTCATAATGTGTTTTAAAAAATCATTGTATAACTTATCACATAGAACGAACATACATTTTGTATTTTATTATAAAACTATAAGAATTTTGATCTTTATATGGTCATTAATAACTTTTTCTTTCTAGTAGATGTACATATGTTGCAATGCCCTTCTCTAACCGATTATAACACTATAGAAGAGGGTTAAACACCTTCTAATTCAATGCAATTGAAGTGGAACGCAGATGGAACGCAGGTGGAACGCACTTGGAACGCGGAAGTATTGAACCATGTGTATTTCCGGTTCAGTCTACCCGGAGTCACCAAATTTGATTACAATGAAGGGATTGCAAACACCTGAGGAGACTTCTCTCCGAACCAATGACGTTATAGAAGATTGGAACCACCCACGGATCCACCAATGGACAATGGGACTAGCCCTATTTAAAGGGACTTGGAAATGGGGGAAGTAGGATATGTTTTTTACATTCTGTAATATTGTAATTGATTTTATTTGGTATTACAGTCCCTGATGAAGTTCCTCACGGAATGAAACGAGTAGGACCAACCTTTTTTTTCTATTTTATCTTACGCTTATGGTGATTGTTCACCTTTTATATCAATAAAACAACTATCTTCACCCATCTGAAGTCCTGAGTACCATTGGCTACCTCACAACAAAGAAGGGGACCACTCGCCCCCCACCACATCAGGGGAGGCATTCTGCGCATTCTTGTGAGTGCATTCATGTATAGCACATGATTGATTGTGTTAATTGTATTTCACTATATATATATTTTTATGTTCTTTTTAGATTTGTTTCAACATTTAAGAAGTGCCTTAAAAACCAATCTCTTTAGGAAAGTTTATGGCCTCCCAGAGTAACCTCTACCTCACATAACTGGCTCTCTCCTAAAGGGCAGCACTTTACTCTCTCCTCCAGCTCTGCTTCACTCCCACCTGATTTGATTGCTATTTCCTATCCAAATGTGTTTTATACCCCACCTCCAATAGACTGTAAGCTTGTTTGAGCTGGGTCCTCTTCAACTATAGTTCCTGTAAGTTTTTTTGTAATTGTCCTATTTATAGTTAAATCCCACCTCTCATAATATTGTACAGCGCTACGGAATCTGTTGGCACTATATAAATAGCAATAATAATAATAATAATAATAATAATAATAATAATAATGGGTAACAATGTTAAACTGAAATATATTTTAGTTTTCTGTATTTTAATTTCGGAAGTTTAACTTGGCAAGCATTTTTATTTTTCAGCACTTTCAAACATTATTTTTTACGGCTATATATGATCCTGAAAGCCATACACACTGAAAGCTTCAACTAGCTAAGCTTAATTATGCATGTTCCACAACATATTTTAAAGACACGTTTACTCACCATTTCTTTTTAAAGTGTGTGATGGTGAAGGTACATATGGCTTTATTAATAGATGAGGTAGGGGGAACAAAACGTTGTGCTCTTAGAATTGTGTTCTAAACATATTTCATACACATATTACATACATATTGTATAATGTATATATTTTCTTTAACTTACATTTAATGTCAAACAATCCTTAACTTAGGAGGCTGTTGTAACGGAGCTCCTTGTACTCCGACCGAGTACCCTCCGTTGATGGATGCTCCTAGCGCTTCCTGAGGACATCCAAGCACTGCAGCAGACACCACAACCACCGCAGACTTCGCAACCGCCGTATCTTGACTGGAGTCTCGCCGTCTTCCTTCCACCCTGGATCAGCTTCTGTCCTCCAGGACTGTGTGGTGAAGACCCCTCCTCCAAGGAGAGCGTGTCAGGAACAAGCTCTTAAAAGAGCTAAGTGACTCAAGTTCAGGGGAGCATGCAGAGCATAGCAATCCCCAGTGTGATTATAACAGCTCCCTCCAATAACGAGACAAGGCTACGTTTAGAGGGATCAAGAAGAACTGTCAAAACCTTTATTTCCCTTGGGACCAGCCAATAGGGTCACCACAATAACATTGTTGTGAAACCTCACTAAAATCACAAACAGTCAAACCATATCAAGCAACACACAGTGACTTATCACAACACAATGGCACATTTTTAAAGGGGTGGGGGAGACAATATTTAACAGTAAATGTCTCACCTGCCTGCAGAATTAGCAATATGCAAATCTACCTGAATATGCAAATGAACCAGTCTTGCAATTCAGGTAGTGCATATTGCTGTTGCTACCAACAGAGGGCACTAGACAAGCTCCATAGCCAAACCCACCTAGTTGGTAGCAAACCTCAGCAATACAAGAGAGCAGGCAATACATTACACAGTACACACACTATAAACAATTACATTACACACACCCTGCACCTATAATGGGTACAGGGTGACTAAAACACAAGATAAATAAAGCAGCCTACATAAATAGTCTGTCTGAAGGTAGACTAGGGGCTTTAAAGCCAGATACATGAAAGAGTCATAGTCACAGGGGAGGAGGCTGGCAAGTAGGCCTCTCCAGGACCAAGTGGCTAAGGGCACTTCGTCACAGCTGTGTTAGTCATAAAGGTTAAGAACGAAGTGACAGGAAGAACAAGGGAGCACCTAAGCATGCAATCTTTAGTATAGCTTGTTATGTTTTATTGTCCTTGCATGAAAAGTGCTAGATATCAATCGAACCCTGGATCTCTCAAATCTAAATACCTGAGAGCAATTAATATATCATACCATGGTGTTTAAACATTATATTCAGCATGTGACAAGTATGCTTAGCCTGAATCTCCCTCACCCTTATGTCTAGCTTGTCATGTTAAATTATCCTCGCAAATATGCTCGATCTAAATTGAACCTTGGTTCTTTCAAACCTAGCTACCTGAGAGTAACTAACATGTCTTGCATTGTTTTAATGTTCCATCATTTTATTCAGCGTGTGACATATATGCCTAGCCTGAATTTCTCATAATTACAAAAAGTGCCATGCCCACTTGTTGCCGCACAAAGTTACATTCTAGACAGCACCTGTGTGTTTTACACATTCTGTTATGTTGTGTACTCTGATACACTTGTATTGGTTGTTGTGGCGGTATGAGATCATTTGAAGCATCAGTGAAAGTGAGGAGGTCTGTGCAGCCCCCACTACCATTAAGGGATAGACCCTTAAGGAGAATTTTACTACAACTTATGTGAGTGCAATCTAAGCAATGTGTCGCTTTACTAATTTGTGGCAATATTACACTATTACATGTTCTGTTGATATGTTTATTTCAGGTTCTACAGCTGTATCACATCTCTTTTTCTACATACATACCTTGTTGTTGTGGTAACTATCTGGGAAGGTTACCCTGGGAAGCTGTTATTTATAAGTAAAGTTTATTTTTTTTGTCTCCACAGAACACTATTTGTGGTGTAAGGGTGTGAATTGTTTTTGTTTCCCTTACTATATATACTTTGGAAAAAGTACTAGCTCGGTATCTGGAAATATTGCCAGAAAATCTGCAGAAAATATAGGACCCATGTTAACATGCATCTGGTCAGCTTGCAGATCAGGATCCACCCCCAATTATTTAAATATTTTTTTCATTTAAAGGGGGCACAGTGTCAATAAACACCATATTGAATTATTATTTTTTAAGATTATATTTTACTATAAAATAATTTTGAATAGCCAAACAGCATATTTCTTGATGTATTTTATTTACTATATGCTGTACTTGTAGTCATGAAAAAGCATCCAGGTTTGGCATCCAGGTACCATCATAGTAGCATAAAGTTATTCACATAGTTGATTATGTTGAAAATATATTAGGCTAATGAAATGCAATATTTTCAGTTTGAAATGGAATTCAGAAAATACATAAAAAGGGCTGACAGTACATATGTTTGTTTTTTTAACTTACCCACATTCTTCAGAATTAATGTCTTCAATTAGATCAGTTTCTACAAGACAAATATGTTGAGTACATATCCACTGGTTTTCAAAGCATGTACTGTAAAAAACAATGCATCTCTATAAGTAGTCTAGAACATAGCAAAAGCACTATTCTATATGTTCAAAAAGTATTTGATTATTATTAAATAAACATGAAAAAAAGAGGGAACATGGAATATAAGACAACATAACATTTAAAATATATCTAAATCAAAAGTTAAATTATGTATTTTATTGCAAAAACAAACCATAACAGACATTAGATGTAAAATGCAGATGTGCAATAAATCTAAACAAACAAATAATTAACATGTTCTGCAAGATAAAACAGATAACAACATAGCAGGATTGTAGCTATAAGAAGAATAAATGAGTACAGTGCTTTTTAGAGGTAAGTGCAGCAACCAGTGGTGGCTTGTCAATTGGGGGAAATTGGAGCAGTGCCCCACCAATTTTTATGTAGGAAATAATGTATTTGCAGACATTTTATGGTTCCTTTTGCACATACCCACCATCTTCTTTAAAGTGCTCAGATGAGAGTTGCCATGTTATTTGTGCTAACCCAAGAATGATGGCTCACAATAGAAAACATCTCTGCTCAGGGGCGGGATGGCGACGTGACATTGCACATTAGCATGCACGTTACGTGGATGAGCTAAGAAACGGTACCCAATGCCGAGACACTGAGATGCCCGACATTGAAATTTGTTTTCCCATGCTCTGAGGGAAAAGAGTAGCAGTTAGCTCTGCCATATGGTGAAAGAGGGAGATTAAGGACCAAACCAGGGAATGAACTGAAGGGTAGGATTAAATGAAGCAGTTGCATTAAAGGGACAACTTCATAAGGAGAACTGGTGCAAAGCGATAACGGCAGATAATTGAGCCTGGATATTGGAGACAAACTATCAGAGATTGTATGATGCAGATACTGACAGAATACTGGGCAGAACATGTGAGTACTGGCAAGGGCTTTGTGGTTACTATTTGTTAATACTACTCTACACAGGTACAAATAAGAAGATACAAGCCCAACCATTTATTAAATCTCTGCATAAAGAGAAGAACAAACTTAAAAAGCACTGAAAGGAATACAGTTGCTGTTTAGTGAATGAGGCAGAACTAAACCAAATAAGTGTTTGGACTGAGAATCCTCTTTCAGAGGAAATCACTCTAGCCTGAGACAACACAACAGATAATACGACTTTAAGAGGAGAGGAAGAAAAGAGAGGGGGAATAGATCTGAAAAAGTGTTAACAAAAAACAAAATAGCAGCTCAGTTAAAACTACAGCTGTTTAAAGGATCACTATAGGGTCAGGAACACAAACATGTATTCCTGATCCTATAGGGTTAAAACCACCATCTAGCCCCCCTCATGCCTCCGTAAATATAGCAAAATCTTACTGTATTCAAGCCTGAAGCTGTAAATCTGCATGCTGTTTGACTCATTAAAACAAACAGTCTGCTGACATCAGAAGTGGTAGCCTGATCCAATCACAATGCTTCCCCATAGGATTGGCTGAGACTGACAAAGAGGCAGATCAGGGGCAGAGCCAGCATGATTCAAACACAGCCCTGGCCAATCAACATCTCCTTATAGAGATGAATTGAATCAATGAATCTCTATGAGGAAAGTTCAGTGTCTGCATGCAGAGGGAGGAGATACTGAATGTTTGGATCTGTTTTAGGCAGCCATGACCCAGGAAGGATCTCTAACAACCATCTGAGGAGTGGTCAGTGAAGTTATCACTAGGCTGTAATGTAAACACTTCATTTACTCAGAAAAGACAGTGTTTACAGCAAAAAGCTTGAAGGTAATGATTCTACTCACCAGAACAAATTCAATAAGCTGTAGTTGTTCTGGGGACTATAGTGTCCCTTTAACCAAAAGAGTGAGCTGAACAAGCGCATACTGCCAAATTAATACCCCTAAATCCAAGTAAAAGGGCTTGGATTTATCTTTATCTCATCTACCAGGCAATAAGCCAAGTATATAGGAAATAGCAAGAAAATGCCTGAAATGACCTACAGAAAACCTGCGGAGCAAGAACAACAGGATCAAAATATTAAGAGAAAAGAAAGACAAACAAGATAAAAGACTGTTGGGAATAATACACTTTGCCTATACTGACCCAAGGCTCAAGCTACAGATGACATGATGTTCATTCTGTTTAAAATTGGCTAACTTGGAGCATGTCAACTATTTGAAATAATATACTTTGTCTATATCCAATGCTTATTGAATATACCCCTAGACAAGAGATATAGAACATTGTGTAACAAGTGTTATATCCTGTATGTTTCTGCTGTTGGCCTTTTTTCCTGTGTTTCTCACTTTGATCATAACAGCTTAGTAATGTGTGATTTAGAACTGCGTAGTAAATGCATATTAATTCTAAGTGCGTATACATATTAATTTTAAGTGCATAATTATAGTGAAAGGCCTAAACATGAAGATACATCTGCAAGCTTGCTATAGGTTAAGATGTTAAGACAAGATAGAGGATTTTGTTAGGATTGGTTAATGCTTTTAAGACCACTCTTGTTTCCTCTTGAACATAACCTGTTACACAGTCTATTAAATGTTAGAAGTCACTTTGAACCGTGCATTCTCTTGTCTGGTTCATTCGGAGCTCCTCACTATATGGTTTGGGGACAAGGAGAAATACGGAGAGTTGCAAATTGATACAAAAGACCATGGCAAGGGGAAATTCCTGACAGAGAAAATTCCTCACTATCAGAGAATTGCATACTTTTTCCTGCCACAGGCAGATAAAAGCATTACAGAAAACTCATAGTTAAGGACTCCAAAGTAAAGTCGCACTAATTAAAGAAAAGCGAGATATAAACAAAAGTACAGAAAAGGAGGATCCAATGGAATAACAAATGGTAACCCCTGAATTTTTAAGGGAGTATCTAGTGATGCAACTGGAACAGATAAAACAAGAAATATAGGGCAATTATGCTGTCCTGAAAAAAGATTTGTTGAAGATTGGACAAAAAGTCAAAATAAATGAAGAAAAAATTAAAAATTTAGAAATCACAGCAGCAACACAGAAAGAAATAATCGACAAACAGCAAAGAAAACTACTGGAGTTAGAAGAAATAAATACTGACATTGAAGACAGAGGCAGACAAAATAATCTGAGAATAAGGAACATCCTGGAGCTTATTGCCCAAGATAAAATGGAAATGTATCTATTCGAATTCTTCAGCGCCCTAAAAGTCAGTATAGATGACAAAGTGGATTTTCTTGAAAGATTTCATCGAACAGCTAAACCTAGAAGTTTACCTGAGGAGATACCAAGAGTTATAATTATCTGCTGTCATTCCTATACCTTCAGAAAGAAAACCCAAAGAGCTGTAAGGCAAGAAGTAATAAAAGAGGGGAAATTTAAGGACATTAAATTTTTTCCTGTATTTTTTCTTTCCAGACAAGAAAAGCTAGAAAACAGTTTATGCCAGCTATAGCTCGCATAAGGGAAAACAATATAAAATATAGGTGGGTTTTTTCAACCAAACTCATAGTAACTGTGGATGGGATGACTGAATATTTTGACTCACTTGAGAAAATAACAAAATGGTTGGAAAAAAGGCTGCAGAGTGGAAAATAAGTCATGATTGAGGATTGGGATAGGGTAATAGGAAAGAGGGGGAGAAACATATTAAAATATAAGATAATTATATATAGTAAATTAAGTAAAATCCACAAGCAAAGTTGATAACGGTATCTGAAATGTACTTATGACGTGTGTATAATAGCGAGCACGGACATGAAATATAGGTCAAATTGGGGTTTAAGAAGAGTGTAGAGCTTCAATTTTTTTTTTTGCACCTCTCCACCCCTTTTGTTCTATTTTCTTACACACTGAAAGGTAATAGAATATTTGTAAAAATAGTTAATAATGGGCTGAATTAAGTTTCAACTAATTTTTGGAAAATACAAGTAGGTGGAGTCAATTCCAGACACAATAGCACTTAGAGGGTATATTAGGACTTAGAAAGGAACATTTTGCACTAATATAGTACACTATTGGTTTAATTTAGTTGCACGATAAGAGAGAGGGTGGGAGGAGGGAGGGAGGTAAAAGGGGAAAAACACTCATGATATTAGAAGGATTAGAAAGGCTAGACAATAAAGATGGTGGTGTAAAGGAAGAAATAAAGTGATCCGGAGAAGAGAGAAGTAGAATAAAGAGGAAGATATGGGTGTGTGGAATTATATTTTTAGAATGATACCAGTACAAGTTCCCTTAGCATAGTTAAACATGATACAGACAGCTTTCTCAAAGTTCATATGGAAAGGGAAGAAACCCAGAATAAACTTAAAAAAATACTATCAAAGAAAACAAAAGAGGGTGGATTAGCAGTTCAAAAGAGAAGAATATAAATATAACGCCTGTATTCTGGCACATGCCATCACCACTCAAAGGGAAGATAATAAAGAGCCTGGTATCAGATATAGTCAGAACTGGTAGAAGTTGATAGCATTTCTGTAATACTATGGACAACAAGTAGAACTGAAAACATTAAAGCTGTTCCAGATAACTCTTTAGTTATATGCCATATCTTGAAAGCATGGCATAGATTCAAAAAAGCTTAAAAGATAGAAAATAGATTGTTTCACTTGCCAATAAATGTGATCCCAGGAAATATTAAACATATAAACATCAAAAACTGACAGAATGCTGGAACAATAAAAATCTAAGAAATATTAACATTGATTCAAATCAGAGAGGACAGATATCTAGGTGCATGGATACAGGAAAAGAATTAAAGAAGGATAACAATGTGAATCCCAAAAAAGTATATTTTATATATTTGTATATTCATGTCCCATTATTAGGATTGTCGCTAATAGCTTGGAGAGAAGGAAATTATAAAGATTAAAGGGGAAAGGGGCACTCCTGATGGTTAATATGTATCTTATCATATTGAGCTGAATAAATGGCATTTATTCAATTCAGGCATGTGTCTCCATAGCTCATGAATTTTAATGTCAGGTAGTCTCCCAGAGTCCAAAAGTGTAAAAAACAATAAAATAATCAAATAAATATATTATACATATACTATATATGTATAATATATTATAAAATAATTAAAACATTGTATAATATATTATACATATATAATGCACATATATGATTTAATTATAAGTGTACTTTGATATATATACACATATATCTCAAAATACACTTATAATGTAATCATTTAAAGCATTATATATGTATAATATATTATAACATTTTTTAATTATTTTATAATATATTATACATATATAGGAAATAAAAGTATATGTGTATATATATATATTTTGAAAGCATTATTTAGTGAATAAGCGAGTGCGCTGGATTCTGTATTTTGTATATATATATATATATATATATATATATATGTACACACACACACACACACACATATTATATACACACGTATTATATGTATATGTGTGTGTATATGTATATATATATATATACAGGACAAAAGTGTCAGCACTCCCAGGATTTCTTATATCAAACCTCTTTTATTCCCTGAGCCACTTGTGTGGGATGTAGACTCCGTCTCATGCTACCACTAGAGTGAAAGCACCGCCAGCATTCAGAAGTGACCAAAACATTAGCCAGGAAGCATAGGAACTGAGAAGTGGTCTGTGGTCACCACCTGCAGAACCACTCCTTTATTGGGGGTGTATTGCTAATTGCCTATAATTTCCACCTGTTGTCTATCCCATTTGCTCAACAGCATGTGAAATTGATTGTCACTCAGTGTTGCTTCCTAAGTGGACAGTTTGATTTCACAGAAGTGTGATTGACTTGGAGTTACATTGTGTTGTTTAAGTGTTCTCTTTATTTTTTTGAGCAGTGTATATATATATATATATATATATATATATATATATATATATATATATATATTGTATGTATATATATATATATTATATATATATATATATATTGTATATAGTACACACACATTGTATATAGTATATACACACAAATATACATATAATACATGTGTATATAATATGTGTGTGTGTGTGCACAAAGTAATATATATGTATATATATATATATATATATATATATAACATACATTTAAAAAAATTTAAAACATTTTTACATTTATTTTTATCTTTATATTTATATATATATATAATTGTGTTAAGGGCACATAGCCGTATACGGAATAAGGATCAAGTATAAGCGTAGGATAGTATAAAAGTGCAAGTCAGTTGTGGTGTGCCGGAACCGACGATGCGGTAGGCCTGTAAATAAAAAGGGCCTGCCAAGGAGTAAGAAAAGAAAGGAAAAGAGAAAAAGAAAGGAGAACAAGTGTTGAGAATGTGAAGGGGTGTTCCTTAAATAGGTAAGTAAAATAATAAGCCCCTCCCACAATTACAGGCCAAACGGCCTTAATACTTGTGTTAGGGGCACATAGCCGTATAAGGAGTAAGGATCAAGTATAAGAGTAGGATAGTATAAAAGAGCAAGTCGGTTGTGGTGTGCCAGAACCGACGATGCAGTAGGCCTGTAAATAAAGGGGGCAAAGTGAACAATCAAAGATTTAATACAGTCAACAATATATATAAATTAACCAGACATTTTCTTAAATTCATTTCATATCTCTTGTACTGGTTTGGCTATGTACCGTGTATAAGCAGATGATTCCCACCGCCCCAGTGATTTGATAATGTGCACTGGTATGTTGGCACTGGAGGCTGTGGAGGCTGCCCCTATACAGAAGGAGTGACCTGAGTAGTTAGAAGGGTTGCAGCCTAGCTGGGTTAACAGAGACCTGACATGTTTCATGAAGGTAGAGGTAGTAAGCACTGAGCCTTGTAATACTAATAAAGGCTGTGATGGTTGTGAGTTGGGGTTTTGAAGGTAGGAGTCTAGAACCGCAACCGGGCACCATTTATTTTGGGTAGGATAATATGGTATCTCTACTGGTGGTGCATGTTGACTCGTTTTAGAATGTGGTAGAGTCAGTAGGTAGTGATCTATGTGTTTTCACATGTGGGATCGTTGAAGACAATGAGTTGTCTGAGTTGTGGTGATAGTAGTAAACTCTCTTGGCCTGAGAAAACCATAGAAAACGGATGATAGACTAACCGTGATGCAGGATGAGGGCTCCCTCATCCTGCATCAGGGTTAGTCTATCATCCTGGCCATCATTCTCCCTCACTAGGTTTTTACAGGAGTTAGACTATAGGTGGATTTATTTGTATATTTTACTGGGTGGGAGAGTAGTCTATAGGCAGTTCACCCTGCGCTGCTCTGAGTTTCCTACAATTTGGATATTCCTGTAGCTGGTGGCAGGCATTAAGGGACTACCTGATAGAAGTCCTAGTACTAACCATGTACTCACACTATACAAGATGTTTTTTCTATGCTTTGGAGCTACCTGACCCCAAGGTTCCTATAGTTTATTACATATGGATGGGGCTCTGTTTCACACATTGCTGCCTTGTTACCGCCTACACAGCGCCCGTGATTGGCCTGTAATGTCTGTGCCCTCTGATTGGCCTTCTGTGTCTGTGCCGTCTGATTGGCCTGCTATGTCTGTACTCTCTGATTGGCCTGCTATGTCTGTGCCCCCTTTGATTGACCTGCTCTGTCTGTGCCCCATTGATTGGCCTGCTATATCTGTGCCCCATTGATTGGCCTGCTATATCTGTGCCCCTTAGATTGACCTGCTATGTCTGTGCCTATTTAACTGGCCTGCTCTGTCTGTGCCCATTTGATTGGCCTGCTCCGTCTGTGCCCTAGCGATGGGCCAGCACTGGTCTGTGCCCAAACCCCTCTTCAGCCGCAGGCCTGGGAGACTATTACCGGGGATACTGTCCAGATAGGCACTACTACCATGCTATCTGGGATGACACCGGTCATCCCTGCCACGAGGGTCACACTACGGTTAGACGTCTAACCACTACAGACGCCCCGACCCAAGAAAGCCTACAGACAATGATTAGGCAGCGGTGGCCACCTCTGTCGGGATAGCACTGCCACGAGCACAACGGGGTGCCTCATATAGGGACACAACGGGGACTCCGCACACGCAAGTAGAGTCAGACTCTGGCGCACCAGAAAAGACCTGACACAGACACCTAAGTATTATTGGTAGGGTGAAGGCCCTGAGCCTTGTGCCTGAGGGGCAAGGCTCCTACGAATCTCCCTGGGTAAGCAGCCACAGTTTTCACCAGCATAGTTCTAGGAGAGTTCTGTAATGAACACATACAGGGACCAGTGCTCAGCCACTATCATGGGAGCATGGGAAGCCATTGGCCTCTAGCGTTGATCCTTTATCTTCAGTTCCTGTATCCTCTTTTGATATATAGGTAGTTAATTCTTCGGCAGACTTACTCCTTGCTATTCCTATTGGGTTTATCTGTTCTTGGCTTTCCTGTCTGTTCTGTTACCTTTCCTAGGTTCCATTTCTGAACTTGACCTTTAGTTCTGTCGTTCCCTTTGTTTTTCGTGTCTTCCAATTTTTCTGTTGCTCGGGACTTTGAGAGGCCTGTATTGGCCTCCTCTGGCCTCGTGGGCTCTCATGGATCGCGGAGAACGTCTCCAGCATTTCCTCAGGCTACCGGCGGCCATCCTGGATCCGGCGCACGTTTGTAAATTCTGTATTTTTCTTACTATTGCAGTTTCTTGGCCTGCCCACTTTTAGTCTCATGGACACTGCCCTAGACTGAATTGTCTCTAAGCCTTTGGTCAGTATTTTTATTCCCAGTTGAGGTCACCTCACATATGATGGATACAGAAAGTGATTGCATGGTCAAAGGGGTACCCCTCTCAGGACCTCAACCCTACTCGACTATCATTAAAGGGTGAGCCCTTGCACACAGTCGCCCTAGGACGAAGGGGGACTTTGGTTGCTAAGGTTGGAGGGTGCGGTCCTCCCATAACCTCAGCCCGCATTTGTGGCTATCTTACATAATTAGAGGGTGACCCCTCTCATATATTAACCAGACACTAATTTTACTGTTAGAGGGCGCGACTGAGCTGAGACTGATTTTCATGCATATTGCTGGTGTTGAGCGTGAACCAATCTTGTAGACGGAGCCAGACATGGATATAGATACTGATTATGTTATTGAAGGGTGCGGCCATCTCAGACTGTCAACCTGGTACTGGCATGGACACCGTTTATGTTATTAGAAAGTGCGGCTCTCTATAACACGCTTTTACTTCAAAATAAAATAGCAAAACCTCCGTACATGTCGAAATGGGAAATGGATATAGGGAAACAATTCCCAACAACAACATGGCACCACGCTCAAAAGAAAACAAAACAGGCCTCCCATAGCCTCACCCAGTGGGAAACGTTCTGTAAATTAACTATGTGTTGGTACCTAGTCCCTACCAAACTTGCTCACATATACCCAGGGACAAACAAATTATGTTGGAGATGCCAGAATCAAGAGGGGATCCTCTATCATATATTCTGGACATGCCCACAGATTACTACATTGTGGCAGGACATACAAACACTTCTATGCAAAGACCTAGGGATCGGGATACCAATGAAACCAGAATGCTTTATATTGCACATCTTCCCAGATACCCTTCCTGAGGATAAGATCTACATAGTGATCCACTGCTTAATGGCAACCAAAACTGCAATTGCCCACAGGTGGAAGACTGCACAGGCGCCCACTTTGCCAGAGATCTTAGGTAGAATAGACTCAACATATACATATGAACGCATGGCAAGCCGACTAAATGATAGACAAAGCAAACATGCCACAAGGTGGCATAGATGGGTGGACTATAGCTATGGTGAGACACAACAAGGGTCATAAGATATCTAATGCAACACCAAAGGCTACCTAGAATAATACAAAGGGATATCTAGTGCAATACAAGACAACAAGATGTTACAAGATATCAAAGGATATCAACGCTGTCCCCGCTCCCTCCCCATCTCCCTTACTATTCAGTTAGGACAAGAGGTATCAGGGCTAGCGTCAAGGAATATGAACAGGTAAAAAAACGTACAGTTATATCAACGCTATGAAGTATATAGGACAAATAGCCAAACTGTTACTAATAACTAAATTTGTGTACAAACTGATTAACAACGCACGTGTACAGATTGTTGTGATGTGTATTGGTGTCCTCCCCCTCCCCTCTTTCCTTCTGTACCCCCCTTGCTATATGTTGATTTCATGAAAAATGAAAAATAAAACATTGAAAAAAAAAGAAAGAAAGTGCGGCTCTCTCAAATACTAAACCCGCTACGGTGCTTCTCTTGGATGCGCAGTCCAGGAGGACTATCTTACTGTTCCCACAATTTTCATGATGGAGGTGCTACCTGATGGGACATGGTACCGCATGTTTAAACTAGCTGTCACTGTTACATCTCCTTTAATTGATCTGCTGGATCGAGGCCACTCTGGATATGGAAGACCCTCCTCCTATACACTAATTCCCTCACAGGAGCTGTCCTGGTCTTGTTTTCACTCAACCACCTCTTTGGATACCGACAAGGATGGCGACTTGGACTCTAAGGGGAATCCCTGTTGACGTTGAGTCCTACATAGACGTCGCAAAGTCGAGGCGCAACCTACCGCTGGAGTAATGCTCAGCTTTTATGTCAAGTTCGGACCAAGCTACCCGATGTTATCAACCCGGACAGACCTTGCTTTGGACGGTGGTAGCTTTGCTCCCCATTTGACTATAATGGTCCTCTGGAGTCAGCTGTTATTTCCAAGGGGATTTTAAATTTATCTACGGATTAGAGGACACTATGAGACCACGGGACTTGAGACTAAGATGGGATACCTAGCCTTCAGATCTCAAATTCAGATAACTAGATGTCTCACGCTATTATACCCTAGCTTGGGTGTGACGGGCATACCATTACTCCCGCCACAAATTTCTGGCGGTGCTGGACGGGAAAGGGATCGTTCAAGCAGTTAATCAGCTTCTTCCACTCTCTCCCTATCAGCTGACAGTCTCACGGTCGGTAATCCTGGTCCAGACCCACACACCAGGACCGATTCGGTTCATCAAGCCTGTCTACCCTTCAAACCACCTTTGACTCCTTTGCGGTACACCACGCAACTACGACAGGTGATGGCTCGTCTTCGTTTATACTGGTCACAATTACCTATTGGATCCAGACCACTCTTCACTCCTCGACGAGGATACATCTAGATGGATATCTCGACCGATGGTTTCGTTCCCTCATTTGGTCCTTTCAGGTTTCACATCTCCCAGAGTAGTTGATCATCGGTTCACTACACGAATTCAGTTTTAGAACCCTGATCGGACGTTCCTTGGGTTAATGTCCTGAGCATCAGAAGAAGTGACTGAACCAACTAATTGGGATTCAGTTGATGCAGGTTGTAGTGTTGTTGTTAACTTTGGCTAGTGTTTGTGACCAAGTGGCTACTAAAAAAGAGTGGACATACCCCATTTGTAATACTTTGGGTTGTCTACTCTTGCAAATGGTATGCTCTCATGGGGGTAATTCTCATTCCTGGGCTACCATACAGTCTCAAATGCAACGTAACCAATCTGGCGAATTTTAATGTGAAAAAACTGAAAACCCCTTCAGCGCCGCGGGAGGGGGACCCTGAGGGTGGAGGCACCCTCAGGGTACTTTAGTGTCAGGAAAAAAAACGGTTTTCCTGACACTATAGTGTCCCTTTAAGGAAGAGGAGTGTCTTTCCTTTTTATTTTTACACAGAAAGTTTTTATACCCTCTCATAACTTTTACTTAGTTTTTATCTCCATCTATTTTTTAAAACATATAGATATCTATTTTAAATAAATATTACATCTATATTACTGATTTAGATAACATTTATATTTCTAACTCTCCACCTCAAAATACTTAGAGGCACCCATAATATAAAAAAAAAATTAGTCTACTGAAATAGTTAAGAAACAAACTTTGAAAAGATAAGTCTTCTCTTGTAAAAACCTTGGATAAACTGCATATATTTATCAATAGAAATGATTTAATAAGTTCACAGAAATAGTCTAATAGTAAGAAGCCCTGAGAAGTTTTCCACAAAAATAAGCATTCTTGTAAGTAGATCGAAATATTATGCACATTTTAACAAGATAAATGAGTCAATAAGTTTGTTGAAATAGTTTAATGTTAAGAAGCCTTAAGATGATACGTTTTTTTCCTTTAAAATAAGCACTCTTGAAAATAGACCGAAATGCTGTGCATATCCAAATGATGTGTATTTGTATACAAGATTCAATCAGGATTATAAAGTGTAAGAACATTTATACTGCTTATTTCCTTTGTTGTATATCATGAAAATTTGGTGCCCGGCAAAATAATAAGACGATGACTGCTGGAACGCAGGATGGCACGCAAAAAAAGGAAATGACGAAACTGGAAATGACGTAACGACAAACAACCTGGAAGAAACAAAACTAAAGGTGGCTTGACACGCAGGGCGTTCACATTACCATGGGTATTGCTTGCGGAATTTCAAGCCAGGAAACAATTAGTCCCCTATTAGGGGGGTATTTATAGCAGGAAGGAGTCCAAAGAGAACTGACAAAGAATTTTTCCAGCTCAGGAGGTCTATTGGCGAAACGCGTCCTGGGAGAACTGTGAGTACTATTTTTTTGGGACTATTGCCGAATAAGTGTTTTTTAGAATATTGTGTTTTTATATTATATGTTATTAATATTAAATAAAGTATATACTTTTTATACACTTACAGCACTATTTTTCCTGCTATCACAAAGAAGGAATGTGGTCCTTAACCACATATGTGACTTGATTTGAGCCTATTGGAAGGCTCTGGGTTTGTGAGTACCAAATTGCACTTTACTATTACCCCTACAAATATCAACAATAGTACATTATATATGTTTCCTTTATACCAACTTCCTAGGACAGAACTCTAAGAAAATCTAAATATAAAGAAGGGAAAGGGTTGCCTTAATGGACCCTAAATCACATGAACTTGAGCTAAGATTGTAGCTCATATAATTGTGAGTTGTTACTTGGCACTATACCTCACATTCGATTTGTACTATACAGTTGGCCCTATGATTTGTATTTTTACGTTTTCTGTTTAAAGGGATAACACAGAAATATTGACATTCTAAAGTGAGAAGACTATTTTAAAGGTATATTCCTTTATATTTGGCATTTAACAATATCTTGAGCTTAGTTCCATAGTTCAAATAAAGCTAAATGGACGGGATAGAGACCAAAGTGAAATGGACAGAATATAAGACGACTTAAACAATAGAATAGCATTGGGAGTTACACACATGACAACCCTCGTGAAGATCAATCACTGCTCTGTAGACACACTGTTCAGTATAACTCCAGTATAAACACTCTCGGTTGAAAAGAAGTTGAATTATCAGACTCCAAGCCACAAATGAGTGTGATACAATGTAAGCAATTTCACTGGAATCCATCATGTTATTACAATGTTGGTATGGGCTGTCATAGCTATGTTAACCTGCCTGTCATTATGCAAATGCTCAAACCCTACAAAAGAGAACGGTTAAAGGTGTTAAACTTACATGTTATTCTATACTACCTTGTTTGTAATTTTACGAATGCTTCACAACAAAAACCTTGAATAACAAAAAAGAGAACTGTTAAAGGTGTTAAACTTACGACATGTTATTCTATACTACTTTGTTTGTAATTTTGCAAATGCTTCACAATAAAAACCTTGAATAACAAAAAATATATATAAAAAAATAAATTTAAAAAAATAAATAATAATATTAGAGTAAAAAGGTGTAGATAGTGACATTTATTTTTATGAGGATTGGCTAGGGGACCTCTAGCCACCCAGGGGTGAAATGGAAATGAGGCTGGGCATCGTAATATATTGGATTTGGACAATGGCATGTCCAGGCCCCTTGTTTATTTAAGGAGAGCCCCATACATCACCAATTTTCTGTCCTTTGTTATGGAACACCACAATCCCCAAAAGAAGAATTTTCTTTTCTATAATTAACAAAAACATAACCTATAACAATTGTATGGTGGAAAATAATTTCATACTAGAATCAAAAGCAAAATGCTTGCCAGTCTTCTATCCCCCACTCAAAGATATTTCGCGTGCACCTGATAGTAGCTGTTAGCTAGATACAGCATAATGTTAAAGCTAGTTTCACGCTAGAATTATTTATCCAAGTTATCTACAACTCCAACATAGGCACAGCAAGGTCAACACACATGATCACTGCTGGGTTGTCTCCTTCAGTAGTTGAAGCCAAAGTGTTTAGAAGAATGCTGCTTGGAAATATAAGTTTTATATTGTTCCTTTATTCACTGTTCACTTAAACTTCACTTTTAGTGACTGTCCTCTAACAATCAATCATTTTTGTTACTTTTTAATTGGACAGGAGATTCAGACTACATGATTGGGCAGACCTCTTGAACATCATAGCATCAAACTAAACTGCCTATTTGTCCCAACCCAAATAAACACCCTTTCCTTCATTCCATTTCCTTTTTTGATGCAAGGTGCAAAGAATAGCACTCACAATCCAGAAGTAAACCCAACATGGTCAGGCTCATGCAAGGTGATTCCCCTGAAATTCTGGCACATGACAGCTTGGAAATCCAAAGTTCAGCCAATTAATCAATTGGCCCAAATTTGGTCGAATTGCAGTTTGTTCCGACATGATTGTCAAAGTGAAACTACTAGCGTTTTTATTTTGTATTATTTGAAAACAGTCAGATGCTTTATTCCCCAGGTGATGGTCAGGAGTGGGTGCTAAGGAACAAAACTACACACCCCTCCATTAATTAGTTAGAATGGTGGAATCATATGGAATACCTGCCTGTGCAACATGTGCTTCCTTCCAGCTATGCTTTCATTGAGATACCAGAGAGCAACAACATGCTTATAATGCTTTTCATGGGGAGAAGTCATCAGGGTTTCCTATGGATTCCAGCCCCAGGTGTTTCTAGATCCTAGTAAAGTCCCTGGTTTGAGCAGATTATTTTGTTTATTATTGGGCCTTAATTATAAGATAAAGGTACATTAAAAATGCTAAATCACAAATTTCTGAAATGTTGCATAAATATTTTATAAATGCAAACAAACATGTTTTATGACTAGATTAGCCTACTTGTAACCCTTACAAGGGAAACCGTTAATGGAAAAGGAGCAATGTTAATTTTGGCCTGGTTTAACCATTTGTTTATTGTGATTTATGTACATGGTTGGTTGAATTGCCGAAATACCCTAAAAACAAAATTGCACATAGCATTGACTGACAGGTATGTGGTATAAAAGTATACTTTGAAAAACAGCTGACATGCATTAAGAGTAGTGATTCATTTTGAGATCTGCTAGTCCCAAAACAAATTAAGGCAGCATTTGTAAGATCTATAATGAGTATGTCAGGTAATTTACTTGATTTCTCTAAGCTTGGCCATAACTAGTAATTTTTTTTTATCTTTCCTGTTTTCTTATGTTATGATTTTTCTCAAAGTAGCTACAATTGTGCTAAAAAATGTGCATACTCTTGGGAAATCGGTAATATATGTACCATTTTTATTTTTTAAAATATTTTTATTGTAACATATCTGGGTTATATTTAGCTGCCGTGATTGTATGTAGTATTAACATTAATGTTTTTTGTTGGTGTCATATTTAGCCAGTTCAGATTTAGTAGGATTACTTCAGGGTTGAGAGGTAGTTTTATTTCTGTTATTTGATATATTAACCTAATTACTTCTTGCCAAAATTTGTTTATGAATGTGCACTGCCATCAGCTGTGGATCAAATTGCCCTTATCAATATTGCATTTCCAACATCTATCTGATAACTCTGGGTAAATTTTCTTTAAACGTGTTAAATACCATCTATTTACTAATTTAAAGTGAGTTTCTGTAAGGTTTAGACAGTGTATATGTTTATTTAGTTTGTTTAAGGAATTTATCCATTCATCTTCTTCTATGTGCATTTAAAGTTATTTTCCCTATTTGTTGATCAATGCTATCGGTTTGTCATGTCTCCAACTTTGGCACATTTTGCCAGTAAATTTTTATAATTATTTTAGTTCAAACAGATGTATAAGGTGTGTGGTGTTCTCCCCTTTATTTTTATATAGATGTTCTGTTAAGAAGCTCTTAATTTGCAAATAATTAAACGTTTCACTGGGGGGAATATTACATTTCTTCCTAATTTGATTAAAGGGTTTGAGATTATGTAATACTATTATATATTTAATTTCCCTTATCCCCCTTGATGTCCAAATAACTATTTTTATGTTTCCTAACAGATCTGAAATACTTGAGAGTGGGAGTGCATCTATTATTTTTTTTTTCATTTTTTTTTTCAATTTGACAATTTTTATTTTTGTTGATAAGCATAACTGGGGTACAGAAAAGAAGAGGGGTGGGGTAGTCTGGTTTGTTGCTTTTTAAATCTTCATTGTTAGCAATAACAACAATTCTGACAGTTTTAGCATTTTATTCATTTCGTTCTTCTGTCTCTGTTGTGGCACAGGTGTAATTGTTACTGTGTGTGCATGCTTGCATTCTGTCCGTACCAGTATATAGTTTAGTCGGGTCTTGTCTTTATGTACGTTCGTAGTGTAAGGGTTAAGGGTGTGGTGTCTACCAACTATCTACAATGTGGGCAACTGTTCCGCTTTGCCTCTAGGATACATCTGTAATCATTATATCCCTTTGCACCGTCTCCTTTGGCCTTGTCGTCGAGGCTATTCTTGGCTCTCATTATTTTTTTTACTTTTTTTTGTGTGTCTGTGTTGCTTAGGGTTACCAGTCCCTCTACCCTCCTTCCTTTGTTCGTCTTTTTGTTCCCTTCGTCCCTGTTATCTCATCCCTCTCCACTCTTCTGTTTGAGACATTTTTCTCATTCCTGTCTCGCTTCCGCCATGTGCTTTGCCGTTTGTTTTTGTTGATTTGTTGTAGTTTAATAGGTGAGGTTTAGGGATATCTGGTTTACTAGGTTGCTCCTTTCTGGGGCTTGTGTCTGTTTCCAACCTCTGGCTATTAAGAGGTTGGCTGCTATTAGTATCTGGAATGCCAGGCTCATCTGTGCCTTCGTGTGTGTGCCAATTGAGATAAATATAGTTGCTAATCTGGTCGGCACCAGGTACCATCTGTATTGTATATTATGCATTAATTCTAAGTGTGATGCGCACCTTGATCTGCCTTTGTGTGCCATGAACGTGAATGTTTTGCCCATATCTGTATGCCACGCCTCCCTGAATTTGTCTGTCTTTGCTTGATTCGGAGTATTGAGTATTGTGTATAGGAGCGAAAGTGTTTTTTTGGGTACGGACCCGGCTTCACATGCTTTTTCTATACATTCAGGATTGGGGAGGGATGGTGGTTGTGGTGGTGTTGGATAGAATCCCCTTGAGCTGTAAATAGGAAAACATAGCCCTTTGTGGCAGCTCTGCTGTAGCTCTGGGAATTGTCTAAGGGTTCCCTGGTTATATAGGTGTCTGACCATTGTGCATCCTACTTTGTTCCAGGTTCGGTGGTCGAAAGTGGGGTTTGCTATATGTAAGCTGTATATTGGGGTGGCCAATGTCCACTCGTGTTTGTAACCCAATTGTGGTTTGACCGTGTCCCATACTTTTAGCAGTAGCTCTGTGGTGTTGGGCATATCTGGTTGTGGTGGCTGCCTTTTATGTGGGACCCAGAAGAGGTGTCGGAGGCCCTTGTGACATGTCCAGGCCGACTCCATTGCTATCCACGATTCCTTTTTGCACTTTAGCTATTTTCAATAACATTTTGTGTAGGAAGTTCCTTTGATTTATGTTTGGGGAGTAGACGTTCACTATGGTATAGAGCATATAATTAATCAAGCCTGTTAGAATGACGTACCGCCCATTTGGGTCTATGTCTGATGTGTGTAGCAAAAACGAGACAGATCTGCTTATGAGGACAGAGGTTCCTCTAGATTTGGTTGGTGAGATGGCATGAAATTGGTGTGGGAATTCATTGGTTAAGATTGTCGGGTGACCATTACATCTAAAGTGTGTTTCCTGTAAGCACAGAATATCGACATCAAGGGTCTTAACCTCTTTTATAAGAAGGTGTCTCTTTACTGGTGTATTAAGGCCTCTGACATTGAAGGTGCATACCTTCACGGTGGTTTCTGGGGATAGTGCTTAGTGTTCCTTGCATATCTATCTATGGCTTTGAGGGCAACCCTTCGTGCTTTAGTCATTGTCCATAAGTAGCAAGCGGGATGTGAGATTTCACGTTCCTCTCTGGGTTGTTTCATCTTTATTAAGGTGAATGGTGTCAGGTCGCCCACTAACCCTGCCCCATCACTGGTCATAAGGTTCGAAACACATAGTAAGTTAACATTGCATAGTATAACATAAAACATAACAGTAAGATAAACAAAAATATTTACATGAACATTCCTTGGTGTTATTGGTGCCATGGTCTTGGCTTGGCACTGCATAGTCGTGCCTTGGGGGTAGAGGCTTATGGCCTCACGTCCACTAGACGCTATCTCCCTCTTTGGCTGAGTCCATTTTTCGTATTGGGGTGTCCCCAACACTATGTGAAAGCCCTAGTATCATTAATGTTGCTGTCTGAGTGTATACTTTTCCAGCTGTTTTTTTATTTTTTATTAATTATTTAAATTGTTTAACACGCCTTGGTTTGTGGTGGCTGTGTGACCGACCTTCTGGCTTTATTTTTCCCCTCCTTCCTTCCCTGCTCTTGTTCGGGTGCCTGGTTAGTGATTAGCCATGTTTTATTCAGTGAGGGTGTTGTGTCTTGGGGCACGGGTATATGTCCCCCGGTCTATGCTGCTGTATTCTCTGTATTCTCATAGTGACATGGCTTGATCCCCCCCTATGTGCCCACTCAGGAGCACTCATGTTTGCGTGTGAGTTGTGATTTATTCATTACATTACCCTGCCCTTTTGGTGGTTGTTTTTCTTAGCCATATAGCCGCCACACAGATAGTCCTCTCCCTCTATCTCTTTTTCATAGAAACATAGAAACATAGAATGTGACGGCAGATAAGAACCATTCGGCCCATCTAGTCTGTCCAATTTTCTAAATACTTTCATTAGTCCCTAGCCTTATCTTATAGTTAGGATAGCCTTATGCCTATCCCACGCATGCTTAAACTCCTTTACTGTGTTAACCTCTACCACTTCAGCTGGAAGGCTATTCCATGCATCCACTACCCTCTCAGTAAAGTAATACTTCCTGATATTATTTTTAAACCTTTGTCCCTTTAATTTAAGACTATGTCCTCTTGTTGTGGTAGTTTTTCTTCTTTTAAATATAGTCTCCTCCTTTACTGTGTTGATTCCCTTTATATATTTAAATGTTTCTATCATATCCCCCCTGTCTCGTCTTTCCTCCAAGCTATACATGTTAAGATCCTTTAACCTTTCCTGGTAAGTTTTATCCCGCAATCCATGAACCAGTTTAGTAGCCCTTCTCTGAACCTCTCTAAGGTATCAATATCCTTCTGAAGATACGGTCTCCAGTACTGTGTACAATACTCCAAGTGAGGTCTCACCAGTGTTCTGTACAATGGCATGAGCACTTCCCTCTTTCTACTGCTAATACCTCTCCCTATACAACCAAGCATTCTGCTAGCATTTCCTGCTGCTCTATTACATTGTCTGCCTACCTTTAAGTCATCAGAAATAATCACCCCTAAATCCCTTTCCTCATATGTTGAGGTTAGGACTCTATCAAATATTCTGTATTCTGCCCTTGGGTTTTTACGTCCAAGATGCATTATCTTGCACTTATCCACATTAAATGTCAGTTGCCACAATTCTGACCATTTTTCTAGTTTTCCTAAATCATTTGCCATTTGGCTTATCCCTCCTGGAACATGAACCCGGTTACATATCTTAGTATCATCAGCAAAAAGACATACCTTACCATCAAGACCTTCTGCAATATCACTAATAAAAATATTAAAGAGAATGGGTCCAAGTACAAGTTTTCGCTTTCTTCCAGTCCGAGGTAACTCTGGCTCTGCTCCCCTCCTTTTCCAATGTCGTGGTAGTCACCATATTCCATGTGCTCAGTATGCGTTGGCCTTCCTCAGGGATTCCGATGATGGTGGTCTTCCCTTCTCTCGATACCAGAAGCTTGGTGGGGTACCCCCATCTATACGGTAGATGATTTTCTCGGAGCTACGCAGTGATGTCTCTGAATTCCCGTCTTCTTTTCAGGGTGTATGAGGATAGGTCCGCGTAGATTGTTATCCCTCTGTATGCCGCTGGCATCTCCCTCCGTTTTCGGTTTGCGGTAAGTATCTCCTCTTTGGCGTGGAAATAATGCCTTCTGATCAATATGTCTCTCAGTGTTTCAGGGGGTAAAAATTTTGGTTTGGCAATCCTGTGAATCCTGTCCAACAGGAATAGGTCTTGTGGCAAGTCAGGAGCTAGTTCTCTTAGTAGGCCTGTGACATGAGCAGTAAGTTCATCTGTCGTTACAATTCCCCTAAAATGGAGGTTGTTACGACGGGCCCGGTCCTCTATATCTGCAATTTTAAGGTCTTGATCATTTAACAGGCCTTCCACTGTGTCTGCCAGCGAGTTGTGGACCTCCGCCATATCTGCTAGCTGATCCTCCATCTGTGATGTGCGGTGGCCTATTTCCTGCATTTCCTTTCGCGGGTCCTTTATGGAGCTATCCATTTTCGCCAAGATTCTATCTGCCATCTCATTTAGACACTGCTTTAAGGAGCCGTGGGTCAAAGTGGTGTCATAGTCCCCTTGCTTAGCTTTCTCTTCATGCCTGCCGTCCACGCCATCTTGGGCCTAGTGGGGCTGGTTTGCGGTGCGTCCTTGCCCCACTCGGGATGCAAAAAAATAGCTTTTTTTTTTCCTTCTCCTCTGTCCTTTTACCTTTAGGCTGAGACATGATGTTGTGGAGACGGGTTCAGCGTTCTGTTTTGGGTTTAATTGCTCTTTTTCAGCCGTCGAGGCACGGAGCTCTTCCTACATGCGTCTGCTCCGGTCCGCTTCCTGGACACGCCCCTCCTATTATTTTATTTCTAAGACCTTTATTGTTTTTAAATTTATCCCACCATCTTGTTAACTCTTTAATTATCTGGGATTTGGTTTGAGCCTCTCTGATATATTTTTTGTTTACTTTTGTTTGCTTTTTCCATTTTATACCATATTGAGTTGCCGCTTCACTTTGTGTGAGCATTATATTGAAAAGTCTACTAGCCTGATAGCATTGCAAGATTTCTGGTTTGTCCTAGCAAATTTGTAAATCCTTTGATTTTTTTTTGTTTTGTCTTATTAAAATTGCTAGGGGTTCTAACCACCATTATGTACAGTAGAAGGGAGCGATATCCCATTTTTGATATTAAAGTTTTGTGATGTAAATCCTGAGTCTGTTACCTTAGCTGATGGAGAACTGTAGAGAGTGGACACAGTTTGTGAAATTGATCCAGTGATTCCAAGCTGGCTTAAAGTGGCGAACTAGAAACCCCATCCAACCCTGTCAAACGCTTTTTCTGAGTCTATTGACAGGAATATTAGAGGGGTTCCATTGTTCTCTATTTCTTCTAATATGTTTATTATTTTTCTAAGATTATTAATTGGGGATCTCCCTGGTATGAATTGGTCATTATTGATTAATTGTGGTATTCCTATTTTTAATCAGCAAGAATAGAAGATAGTATTTTAATATCTGTATTTATTAATGATATAGGTGTATAGTTGCAGATATGATCTAGATCTTTATCTGCTTTTGGGATGGGAACGATGTTCGCTCTACACAGGTCTCCAGGACAGTTTCCTGTTTTCATTATATAGTTAAAAATATTAGTTAGTTCTTTTATTAACTTGTAGAATTTGTTTGTGAATTCATCTGGGCCTGGTGCAGTCTTTATTTTAAGTTTATCTATAGATTTAGTAACCTCTAGTTCTGTTATGGGCTGATTTATCAGTCTTAATTGGGCGGGTAGAATTTTGGGCATGGACAGATTTTCCACGAATTTCTCAATCTCTTTTTTTTTGCCAAATGTTTTTTTCTGGTAAGCAATATAGATTCTGATAAAATCTTTCAAATGCTAGACCTATATAGGTATCCTTATCTTTTATTGTATATATTACTTCTTTATGTTTATCTTTTTTTCAGTTTATTAGACATAATTGTTTCTGGTTTATTGCCTTTTAGGTACCATTTAGCTTTTAGTGCTTCTAGTTGTTTAGATACTTTGTTCATTAATTGGTTGTTGATCTGTTTTCCTATTTCTGCAATCTTACTTGCTATTTGTATGGAGGGTGTTTTATTTTGGCTTTTGTATTCGCTTAGTGTTAAATATAATTTAAAAAGAGTTGGTAGACCTTTTTTATTTTCAATGGCTGCTATTTTTATTAAATGACCTCTTACTACACTTTTCTAAGCGCAACAGACCATGATATCCATTGTGCCTTTTGTTTTTATTTTCTTTAAAAAAAAAAAGAGATTTCATTTTTTTCAAATAGTTTTTATTGAAAGTTTTGCAAATTTTACAACAAATTATAAGAACAGTATAATAAAGGAGGGGAAAGGAAGGGGAAACTTGGAAGATGGAAATTTATTTTTTTAATTTCTTCCACATTATTTTTTTTAATGTAATATAAAATCTTTCATGTGCCACTCTTTACAGAAATTATCAAAGTTATCTTTGTATTCCAACATGATAGGGCTACGGTCTGACCATGCTATATCCTGTATCTCTACTTTTTTGACAATGTATAACATGGTCACGTTTCCCAAGACAAGGTCTATTTTGGAATATGAGTTGAATGTTTTCGAATAGCATGTGTAGTCTAGATCGTCAGGATGAAATGTTCTCCATACATCTCTTAGATTATGATTGTTCAGTAGTTTTTGCAGTCTTGTATCATCTATTTTCCTATTTATTCCCATCGTTCTGGCTCTTTCTGTCCTTTAGTGGATCAACTACACAGTTGAAGTCTAACATAATTAATACCAACCCTTGTTTGATCTTCTCTGTTTTTTAAGCACTTTTGATATGGAGTTTATTGTAGCTTTATTTGGTGCATAGATATTGGCTAATGAGAATAGCTTATTTATTTCACAAATTAAAATAATATATATTGGCCTTTTGCATCTAGTTCTTGAGGTTTAATAATTAAGGAAACATTTTTTGCAAAGAAAAATGCAACGCCTCTTTTTTCTTATTTTCTAATGCTGCACTTATGATAATAGGGATGAATTTGATGAATTTATTGTATTTTCTTTAGATATTGTCCAATGGGTTTTTGTAGGGCGCAAATTTGTACCCGATTTTTTTTTTATCAGAAAATCTACAATTATAGACCTTTTAACATGGTGTATTAATCCCCCGGGCATTTATTGAGATCAACTTCATTTGTAATCTCTTGTTGGTTTTTGGGACTCTCTCTCTCTCCATTAGAGATGTCGCAAACTGTCCGCGAACTGTCCGCCGGCGAACAATAGCGTGTTCGCGTTGGGCGAACATATCCGATTTCCGGTCCGCCCCCTATACGTCATCATTGAGTAAACTTTGACCCGGAACCTCACAGTCAGCAGACACTTCCTGGGAGGGAGGGTCTGCTGCTGATTGGGTGGAATGTGTCTGCTGGCTGTGAGGTTCCGGGTCAAAGTTTACTCAATGATGACGTATAGGGGGCGGACCGGAAATCGGATATGTTCGCCCAACGCGAACACGCTATTGTTCGTCGGCGGACAGTTCGCGAACAGTTCGGCGGACAGTTCGCGACATCTCTACTCTCCATGTGTTACCATACTTAAGTAGAAAATAAAAAACCCTTCTTTATTAGTGTTTACCCCAAAATAAGATGGGTTGTTCCGAAACAATGGCATCAACCTAAAACAAACGTAATGTATGGGAAACCCCCGCCATACAATATCTCGAGCAATGAAAAATATTACTCTGATATAGGTCCCACGTATCATGTGGGAAAAGCGTACTGAGGGTAGTCGATCTGGGGTTAGCTAGAGTCACTTCTAGTAGAAGGGGCGAGGAGAGTGAGGAGGAGTGAAAAAAAAAAATCTAATTCCTGGTGTGCAAAAAAGACTCTTATGAACCTTTTTTACACTTGCAACACTATATTGCTTAAATTATAATGTGAATATTATTATTTCACTATCTCTTACTTTTGTGACAAACTTGTGTTATATTTAAACTTATCACTCTTTCCCTTAACTTTCTTTCCTCCATATCTAGGGATATGCCTATCTTATTTTATAGCGTCCTTTTCTTATAATGTTACTTTTCTGTGTTTCTTATTTCATTTCCTTCTTTTTATTGTGCTCCTAATAGGTATATTTTCCTTCAATTTGTGCATTAACTCTCTTATTAAGTGCCTGTTTGATTCAATTTTGATGTGATCTACTATTCTCTATTCTTTATTTGTTTCTTCAATTTCACTAAGTTCCTGTTTTTACATCAATTTATATTACCTCATAAATCCCCTTATCCCCTAATGCTGACATAAAAAAACAGTGAAGAGAGAAAAAAAGAACCTTTCCCCTTCCCTTCCCTCTCTTTCCCCCTTCCTCCTCCTTCTCCCTTCTCTCCCTCTCCATTCCTTTAGATATTTGTGTCATCCCGATTTGTTGGCTGATGTCTAGGATTGATTCCAATTTGATTTAACCAACATTTCAGGTCTTCTGCTATGTTAATGTAGGTGAGTTTCCCTTCATGTGATATAATAATTTTCATGGGAAACCCCCGTTGATAATTGATATTATTCTGTCTCAGGATTGGTGTGCCTTCAGAAAAGGCCTTCCTCTTTTGTCTGGTTTGCCATGATAGATCCTGGAATACTTGTGTAACGGATCGCCTGGCACCCCGACTGGGTACCTCTGTTGAAGGATGCTCCTAGCACTTCCTGAGGACTCCAAGCAGACACCACAACCACCAAACTGGAGAAGCATACGAATGCTCTCAAGCATACGAATACTGTAAGCAGCTGAACAGGAAAAGCATACAATCAGCTTATACTCCTGGCAATCAGCATACAATCCAATTCCCCCAATAACGAGACAACACTTCATTTTGAGGTCAAGCAGAACTGACTGTACTGGCACATACAGCCTCTTTTATTCACAATCCACAAACAGAGTACTGCCCACAGGGTTTTGAAATACAACCAATCAATCCGTACAATACACACAGACACTCCCACACAAAATCCTCCCTTCTGCCTGTGATATGATTACTGAACACAACGGTTAATCTAATTATCACAGGCAGAGAAATACGGTATCATAAAACAAATCACAGGGACCCCAAAACATGCAATAACCACATAAAAATATATCCTCGGAATCCTGTATATCCTCGGAACCGGGGGGTCTGGGTGAACCACATAGCCAAAATTCACCCAGATCCAATCAGTAGTTTGGAAGATGCAGTTTAATGCAGATTCCGTAGAACATATACAGGCTATATGCAAAATAATTACTGTATAATGTGGCCCCTGTTGTATAGTTTAAAACTACTGAACGATGTCTTCGTGCACCAAATACTGGCGAGATGGCACCATGTAGAAAAGTCCAAACAGTGTCTGTGAGTTAAAATGGCCGCCATCCATTGTTCTCACCATGTGCTTCATCCATTGTTCTCACCATGTGCCTCTGATACATGAAATGGTGGCCACCCAGTAACTCCACAGTATGTCCCCAGATGGTTCTTAAAGGGCCAGCAACAGCATAATAAAATAGAATATGCCCAAATACTGTATTTAAAGGGCCAAGTCTCCCTGGGGCCATAGTCAGTAGGCAGGAGGCAGGCAAACAGGCTTCTCCAATGCCCAGTGGCGAGGTTGGTTTCACCACAACTTGTAATATTTTATATTCTTCTGCGCATTCATTACTTCTTATGGCTTTCAGTACTTGCGTCTTAATTTTAGAAGAGACACAGCATATCATTACATCCCTTGGTAGATGTTCTGGGATGCCTTTAGGTTTGCTCACTCTGTGGCATCTTTCCATCATAGAGATACTAGGGTCCCATTCAGATGTTTAAAATCTATGTATGGTTCCAGATTTTTCAGATTTATTTTCTCTGATACTCCTCTTATTCTTAAATTGTTCCTTCTTGCCTAGGTCTATCAGTTCATTCTCCATATCAAACATCTTTTTCTCTAGCATTAGGTGTTCTTCTTTGTGGGCGTTTTCCTTATGTTCCAACCCATTTAATTTTTCATCTATTCCTCAGAATCGTTTGTTAAGAGTCAGCAGTTCTTTCTTGATGTCTATAGTGTTAGCTTGTATTTCTTCTCTCAGCTTCCCAAATTGTGTGTCTAAATGACTAAGTAAATAGTCATATTCACTTCTTCCTTCTTTTTGACTTAAATCTTGATTTTCCTCCACTTGTCTTTTGTTCATAGCTTCTTCTAAAGGGATATTAGAGAGAATCGATTCCTCCATGTTTGTTTTGTTAATTGCTGGATTTGGTAAAAAGAAGGAAAGCTGGTTTTTTTGTTTTATTTTCCGGCTTTTTTTTCTTTTTTTAGATGCTTGTGGTTTGATGCCTTTTTTGTAACCCATTTTCTTTTAGTTTTCTTTTTCTACCTCTTTCTCCCTTTCTTTTTCCCCTTTCCCTTTTTTTCCTTCAATCTCTCCCCTCTTTTTTATGTATTTTCTTTTTTTCCCCCTTTATCTAAAATTTTAAAATGTATTTATTTCTTTAGGTATTGCTCCTTTAATGTTCCTTATGTATCAGGAATTGAGTCGACGTACCGTGTATTATGGTTATATGACGCCAAAGAATTGGAATACCAACTGAAAAATCTACTAAAGCAAACTCACTGGGCTCTTTAACTTAGCACTCTGCAGACCTACACCGGTCTACTCCTTACTGTAGGTACGAATTGACTTAAGTGGGATAGTCTTTATATCCTTATTTGCTCTCTGTATACTGATCTCTATTTGCACTCCAATTTCACCTTTCTCTTATGTGTCTATTCACTTTATGTTAGCCCCTGCATTGTAAACTGAATATGACTGTGTACAATTTTATATCTGCTAATTTCATGATCTAACTTGCTGGTTAGTACAGACAGTTATGTGACAATTTATACTTAGCTTATAGTTGTTCGACCCAGCTTGCAGCATGTGTATGCTCTCCCATGCTGGGTTCCTTTGGTTCTGCCCGCCATGATTACAATCAGTGACTTTTTCCAGCGTGTCTCTTATGTGGCAGCTGGTCCTCATTTCCAGCTCTCTGAACAGCACCCCGGGAATCTTCACCGGTGAGACGGGTTCAGACCTCTCCTCCTGTCAGGCTTCCCTGATCGGTCCCTCAGCCGCGTTCCATGAGGACGCAGAAGCACATCCTACATCATCTTGCTCCACTCCTCCCCCCCCTCCCCCCACTGACTGGCGTTTTTAAGGTTTTGGATATATTTTTTATCCTTTTCCATTATAAAGTTCCATTACCTTGTTACATGGGTCTTTTAACAGTTCTTTTCTGCTCCCCATGGCTCAGTATCTAGCGTGCTCTGTCCATCCACGTGAGAGCTAACAAACTCATTGACTGTTTATACATTTTAACCTGTGTGTGTGTGTGTGTGTGTGTGTCACCTTGTGTGTCTGTACCAAAGCCAAAAATTCAAGGGTATGTAAACTTTTGATTAGGGCCATTTGGGTGATTTCTGTTATCATTCTGATTTAAAAAGAAGCCAAACAACTATGTGATAATAAATGGCTTCATATGATCACTATTTTAAAAAAACAAAACCTTTTTTTCATAATTAGTCATATTTTTAAAATCAATGACAAATTTTCACAATTTCTGCCAATGTATGCAAACTTTTAAGCACAACTGTATAAATTAGGTGATTTGATTATGGTATGAATGTATGAAATACATAGCCCTCATATATTTCTAAATTATATTGCTAGTGGTGTCATGGTTTCATGAAATTAAAGGGCTGTGTCTATGTGATCTGTACCCAGGCTTGAATATAGGCTCCACAAATAAGCTAGTTTGTACCTAAGTAATTTTGACTTCAAAATTTAAATACCTGTAACAAACCCCTTGTATTTCAAATACTCGGTTCTTTGCACACTCCCGAAAAGCTAGAGGCTTAGTGAGTCTAGACCATTTGCATAGTACGCTAGGTCATACTTGTGACAGAAACATATGTCTTTAAACTACTTTTATGGTTCCCTCATTCGTCTGTTTGTTCGGCTGATTCCCCTGTCCGTACAGTCCTCATGCTTGTTTCCTTTATACCAAACAATTTGCCGAACGGCCTGCCACCAAGCATGGAAGTGTGCTACTGGTTAACCTCTTGGCCTCATCAAGACGTTGTGGTTAACCGCAGACACTTCCTAATTGTCGAATGCCGGCTGGGTGGTCGTCGTTGTATGCACAAACACAAGGCGGCGGCCATCTTGGACGTACGAACGCCCAGTGGTGTTCATGACGATTTCCTGGAACTAAAAACGGACACTATTTCTCATGAACACCGATGAAACCGCCGACCTCCCTTTTTCTATTTCTCTAGCATATGAACGCTGGTGCGTTCAGTACTTTTGCATACGAATGGAGTCACCCCAGATAGCCATCCCATGGAGCCCATTCGTATAACGAAAGACTATGGGAAAGACTGTACTTGTACTTTCTCCATCACTCCTGTCTTTTCTATTCTCACAGTCATCCTATTCCCTCCCTACACACTACTGAGCCTTCAGTACCCCCTTTGTCACTATTATATAGTATATTGTGTAGCCATTACCTTTTCTCTCAAACACTTATTCACTCATTCACTCATACTGCTGAAATAAAAACATAACGGTCTAATGTGTTAAAGTGAAATGTTTATCGGTTAATTTATTTATGTGGAAATATGTACATATGAAAATGTTTTCTATGTGTTTGTAATGTCATGCTCTCTTCTAAATCCTTTAACTATAACCAAAATGTTTATTTCATCTGGTGATCTATGTGGAAGAACTTGTGAATACATTCTACTGTTATGCAGTCATCAGTTGTTGTTTTTTTTTACATTGATTAAAAATTGTGGTGCTAGAAATATCTTTATTCTTACGTAAACTTGTTTTTTAGCATCAAACCATTCCAAAAAATGTTGTAGATCCTATTTTCAGAATTATGAACAACATTCAATTTAAAGTGTTGTGTTGGTTTCTCTGGATCATAGTAAATTAACCTTGATGTTTCAAATGTAAAACTGTTTGTTTGTTTGTTTGTTTGTTTTATCTGACTTTACCAGTAATTGCAGTTTTCTCGAATAGTGCCTTGATCTTCATAATATGTTCCGTCTGCAAAGCACCCTGACAATACAATAAAAACAAATGATTTAGGATTTAACAACTTTTTTTTATTTTTTATAATTCTTTATTTTTGCTGTGCATGAAATAACTTTTGCATATCAACAATGCCACAACAGCATTCGCAATCAATTTACAAACACTTATTTGTTAACTGTTGTACAGCATCTAGAAGAAACGCACACATTTTTTAGGGTAATAATACAAGTTAAGTACATGCTGAGTAACTACGTCTGTCTTTTTGACTTACATTGTCGTTGAGTAACAGTAGCTTAGGGTTAATATTTATGTCGCGCGTCATCGCTTCAATATCTAGACATTGACATGGTTATGTCTGACTATGCTTAAGTGGGAGAAACAGTATATATTTACGTTGCTCAAGCATGTCAAAACACAACACGGAGCTACATCGCTTGTATCTTTCTAGATAGTTGGGTTTTACGCTATGTCATAAGCTAGTCAAACATAAAGTAATTAAACATAAAATAATTATACTAAGCTTACATGAGCTAGATTAAAGTAACACAGTATATAATTAGGAGTATGCAGGCTGTAATCACAAACGTATTTGGTCACTGATAGTTACGGATCTAGTTCACTGCACTGTTTATAAAATACACTTTAACATCAGATTATACATGCTTGTGAAAACGTGTGGTAGGTGCTAATATGTTGCTAGACATAGGCTAAAACATACCAAGGTAGGCTAGAATGAGGCTTTCAAGCATTGTCACATTTGTTTTGTCAAAGACCTGTTTGTGGCCCTTTTCTAGCCTGAGAGAGGGAAGGTCAATTACTTATTCCTTGGTGGTGGAGGGTGCCCTTACATCTGTATACATTTAAACATAAATCAAACTTTGATAATGAGTAGTTGCTGAGGGTATGCACCGGAAAAAGCAAGCAGATAAGAGTCATGGAAAATTGGGGTAATACCGCTGGGTGATAGTGGGTTGACATGTGCCGATGGCTCTAGACCTCGAGGCTGACAGTTTGTGAGTCTTTATTCAGCCCACGCCAGTCAGGCAAGGTCCCGGTGCCCCTATAGGGTGTTCAGTGGTCGAGGACCCCCGCTCGTGGGCCACGGAGGGACTCTCCGCCTGCGTCTCCCGCCAGTATCCAGCTTTGCTGTCTTACAGTCAGCGTCGCGGCAAGCACTGTGAGTTGTCAATTGTGGAGTTGCGCCCTGCTGGATGAGGGTATTTGGGGCAGATGAGGCGCGGGCGGGTCGGGCATGTCGGTGGGACCATCCCCGGGGCGCAGGGGAACGAGTGCTGGTGCCCACGATACCTGGTGCTGTTTCCCTCTGTGCTGGCCCCCGGCTCTGCCGGGGAGGTTCCCTGGAGGTACGAGAGGGATACCCGTTCAAACGGCGTCGGACTGCCGGGCGGATCCATGCCGCCACCGCTCTTATCGCCATCTTAAAGGTTCGTCTCTGGGCATGGAGCTTTGACCAAAAGCTGGTGTAGATCCGCTCGTAGAACTCCTGTGATTGCTTAGGAGGCTTGATTAGTGTGCGTTTTGTGGTAGGCTGTGTCCGTGTCGCCATTTTGTTTGGGCCTGGACAGTCCCATGTTAGCTCATGATTTGTGCGCTTGGCGTCTGCCATTATTCCCTGCTCTTGTGCTGCAGGCGTGCTGTGTGGGTTCGTCGCTTGTCTCCTGGGTAGCCAGGCTTTCTCCCAGGGTTGGATCGGGATAACCCCCACCGATCCGGGGGGGGGGGAGCGTTATGCCTCCCGGGCTGCTAGCGAGAGGACGGGGAAAGCGGCCGTCTCTTCCCGGTTCCCACAGGCCGCATTCATGCATCGTTGGGCTCCGTGCACCGATTCTCTCAAGACAGGTATCCGGTTGTTCAGTGGGGCACACTGAGCTCAGGTAGGGTCGTCTTGTGAAGGTGGGAGCTGTTTTTGCCGAATATTCAGCGGTTTTCCAGTTTTGGCCGCGGGAGCTCTGCAACCATGCGTGCGGTCAGGATGCTGGTCAGGCTCCGCCCCCCAACAACTTATTTTTTATATACAGGTATATATATATTTTATTTCTTCTTTAGCTTACTTCATTTTTTTTCATTTATTTTTTATTTTTTATTTATTTCTTATACAAACTTGTACATCATACACACAACACAATACTGTATAAAACATTAGTATATAAAAAAAAAAACAAGACAAAGAATACAGACAGCAATAAAAAAAGACGGTGAGTCAATCCTTCATAGCCTTTCCAGCACTGTTTGGCATAATTTTTTATTTTTTTTTAAATTTCTTTCTCCTTCCTTCTCCTTTTTAATCTACAAGGGATAACTTAGTTAACCAGTTATTTGTATCAAAGGTTGTTTTTTTTCCAGATTTCTATTTAACCCTCCCTCCATTGTCAGCTGCAAAACTGGGTTGATTTTTTTTACAATTTTACAATTTGGGAGAGTATTACTTCTCCACACTCCAGCTTACTTCATTTTATGAAACCAAAACATCATATCAGTCCAATGTCCTATTAAAACCCATGAATTGTCATATAAGCAGAGAGAGCAAAGGGCACAAAGAATCTAAATCACAATCAGGTCTTTTGAAATTTATAGAAAAGTATTTCATAGTGTACTAGAAATGTGTAAATGTTATCACATCTGTGTGTGTATACTTCTTTATATGTAAATATATGTTTGTTGGATTTTAATAGGGTTTGTGGATTATATGTTTGAGTTTGGGTTTGTGTGCAATTGAATATGTACATTCATTGTATGGCTGGTTAAGTGATATATAGTCATTATCATTTACTTAAGTATATCACAGTGTGTGTTTTTGTTACTGAGTACTTGTACAAGTAACTATAAACAATCTTTACTTTGACTCTAAAGCCCCTAGGTATTCTTTTTGCCCGGTAATAATCCAAGATAAACACTCCATGGAGGTCTAAGTCGATTTCACATCATTTTAATTTAACAAGATCATTGTACAGCTCTTTAGCACAGGGGTCGAAACGTCGTTTTTTGTTTGCTGTATGCACATCACTTAAATAAATCACAGTATTTTTGGCAAAGTCCTGCAAGTGCATCCTGGATCTTTCTTTGTTTATATATTGGACGCACTGTGGATGGCACCCAGGCAGATATATTCACAATACCAGTAAGGAGAGTGCCAAGCTATTCATTTATTATATATTGGGTGAGCGTTACACCCTCTTGAGCACCCCATTAAATTGAAATACTTATTTTTAACAAGTATTTGTCCTGCTATATCTTTTTCAAGTTATCTTCAAGATGGAAGATTTTCTGGCAAGATCAGGAGCCCTAGCTGAAACAGCAGAAACTCTTAGCATAACTGAAGAACAAGCGACAGCTGTACTGTGGCCCCGTACTACTAAGGACCTTGCAAACACTAATACCGCTAAAGAGCTGTACAATGATCTTATTAAATTAAATCGACTTAGATCTCCATGGAGTGTTTATCTCGGATTATTACCGGTGTAGCAGAACCCCTTTTTGGCTGTCTCATTCCCTTTTATTGATTGTTGGCCCTGCAGAGATTTTCCTATGACTGGAGTACACAAAACTCTAAGTAACAGTGTATGGACTTCTATTAGACTGTATATAGATTGTGTATAGGAAGGTGTACCCCTCCCCCGTTTCCTGTCCCATTGTTCTCCAGCAGGGCATTGTCCCAGGAACACTGCCAGACTAGTTGGAACTGGTTTGGGCTGGAAAGCCATGCTTCAGTGGGCCTAAAGGGACCTCCACAAAACGTTAAACCCCCATAACTCCTGAACCCCTGATCTGATCTGGGTGATTTTTGGATATGTGTCGCACCCAGATCAGGGTTACCAGGGGATGTAATATTTAAAGGGGTACTCCTAGGTTTAGGGGTACATCCAGAAAACCAGGGGAACTGTGTCCTGCATAATGGGATTATGTGTCACACTAAGGGGAGGGGATGTGTGGGTGGCAATTTGTGTATGATTGGTGTATTGTGTATTACTGTAAATCCCTCCCTTGCATGGGAGAATGCTTTAAAAGAAGGTTGTGTGATTAAAAGTTCAGTTCTACTCCTGATACTGTGTGTCGTCCAGTGATTGGGGAAAGTGGTGGGATATTATTGGATTGTGTTGCTGATCGTGCTGGATATTCTATTGGATTTATTACTTGTTCCTGCATCCTCTTAAAGTACTTGGTGGAGTTTAGCTGTGGGAAATCAGCTCTCCGCTACAACCGGGCAAAAAGAATACCTAGTCCGCAATAACCCAACTATAGGCAGACAAAATCCAGATTTTTGCAGACGCTGGATGCAAAAAGCAAATAAATGCTCCTTACACTGGATGGTCATAGTAGTGGAGGAGGTGGGAAAATAATTAATCCAAGTTAAAAAACTATCCAAGAATTTGAAGTCAGTAATGTCACTATACTACAAGCACCCTCTACTCAAGACATCATGATTAAACTTCAAGATAAAATCCAAAAACATCAGAATGACTTAATACATTTTAGAAAACAAAAATTAAGCAAGGTAAATCATGACTACCCACATCACCGGGTGTACAGGTGGTTGAGTGGCACTGACACTAACAACAGAAGCCTCCCACCGAGATTTAGACAACGGATCACGAAACCGTAGTTCCAGACTATTGACGTCAGCTCGGGCGAATCTGCCTCTGATGCAGAAACTTTAGACACATCCAAGACACAAACCATTCCTTTTTTAGAGAGGTGCAGCATCCAAAGAGCCTCCGGATATGCCAAAAGAAAAGAGGGATACAAGAAGAAAAGACCCTTCAGGCGAGGACAGAAGGGTAACTCGTTACACAAATACATCAGGGAGACCTCCAACCCAGAGAACACGTCCGTAGAGTTCAATTTTTCGGATAAAACTCTCACCATTGATCACCTTTCTGTTTTGAAAAAGGACTCACATTCATTCCTAATAGAAAACCCGATGCCTTTGGCATGGAAATAGAATATTAAGAGTATAATTCAAATTTTATCAACCCCTAAATGCCGTTACGGCATTCTATACCGTCCCGCATTAAAAGGGCTTTAAAGCCGTTGCGGCGGCATAGAACGCCGTAATGGCTTTCTTTCCTCTTCTGGAGGGCTGCCTGATAGCCCAGACAGCCCTCCCCCGGCAAATGAGGCCCCCCGGGGACCATGTGATCGCTCTCAAAGAGCGACCACATGGCCCCCTATAGCTGGCTGGGGATCTGCCAGCAGGGTGACTTTCTAAAATATCAGACAGTACCCCTGCTGGTGGGAAGTATAAAAAAAAAATATTAGACGTGTAAAATTAAAATAGAAATGTATTTATATATATATATATAATTAAAATACACTTAGAATGACGTTACATATATATATATAATATATATATATACATATAGTATATATATATATATATATATATATATATATATACACGTATAATTACAATAATAAATAAATAGAATATTGAAACTAAATTTTATATAAATTATATATTCATATGTAATTTCATTCTAACTGTATTTTGTTATTAATATATATATATATATATATATATATATATATGTAACAAAATACACTTAGAATGACATTCTATATATCTCTATCTATATATAAAATACAAATATCCTGTCATGTATCTGAGCCGGAAAATGAATCCCCATGAACAGAGGTACTCCGTAGTGGAAAAGGAATCACTTGCAATAAAATGTGCATTAGAATCCCTGAGATATAACTTACTGGGGAGACGATTTACACTGATCACGGACCATGCTCCTTTAACGTGGATGAGGCAAAACAAAGAAAAAAATGCCATGATGACTAGATGGTTCCTAAGTCTTCAGCCTTACCAGTTTAATATTACTCACAGGGCCGGAACTGCACAAGATAATGCAGATGGCCTCTCGTGAGTTCACTGTCTATAGTCCCGGGCCGCTCGCCCCGATGGGTCTGAGCTGGGGAGGGGGATATGTGATAAGGTGAATGGGGTGGTCTGTGAGGGAGTTTATATTTCAACTGAATTGTTCAGAGAGGCATATGATTTTTAACCCCAGGGGGAGTGTGTGTTACAGTGTGTATATAACCAAAATTAATATTTAGTTATGGGCCCCTGGGGTGGAGCATTTGGAGAGCAGGGTGGGCCAGTGCTCCACTACGCAGTTTAGCGGTTTTCTTGGGAGACATAGATCCAGGCCAGGGTTTTTGGACTGTCTCCAACCCACTGCTCAGCTGCAGGTAATCAGCTGCAGCAGTGGGAATAAACCCCTCCCTGCTAGGCAGGTAAGGGGAGAATGTTTGTTTTCTCTCTTGAAGAGCTGGCAGCAGCAGGCTGACTAAACACTGGAGTACTGAGAGCTGACAAAGACACTAGGTTGGTGAAACCAATATTATTTTGTTATAGCTTAACCCTGAGAGATAGGGGATCTGATGTTAGTTAGTGCTCAGACAAGCTAGGTTTTTGTTTATAGGGATTTTGTTACATTATTGTTGTTTTCATCTACTGCTGTCTCCTGTGTGGATTTACAAATAAAGTGCTTGGAATTAAGTTCCTTTTAAAGACTGGGCATGTTTGTACCCAAAAGGACCATGCTAACTGCAGACAAGGATCACAATATTAAAATTCTACATGTATATTTAATCTTTTAACATAATTATGTGATTTGATTAATTAACATTTGATTGACATGCCTGACAACACAGGGAGAAAGTGCAGAGAATTTAATTTGCGAGCACTATATTTGACCCTGTAACTCTCCATGACACCATAAAACCTGTACATAGGGGGTACTGTTTTACTCGGGAGACTTCGCTGAACTCAAATATTAGTGTTTCAAACTGGTAAATTGTATTACAATGATGATATATTTTAAGTAAAAGTGACGATTTTTGCATTTTTTACAAACGAATGGCACTTTGATGGAATATATTATTGTTGTAATATGTTTCACTGTTTTAAAACACTAATATTTGTGTTTAGTCTCCCGAGAATAACAGTACCCCAATGTACAGGTTTTATGGTGTTTTGGAAAGTTAGAGAGTCACATATAAGGCTTCCATTTCATTTTTTTTTACATTGAAATTTGCCAGATTGGTTATGTTGCCTTTGAGAGCGTATGGTAGCCTAGGAATGAGAATTATCCCCATGATGGCATACCATGTGCAAAAGTAGACAACCCAAGGTATTGCAAGTGGGGTATGTCCAGTATTTCTTAGTAGCCATTTAGTCACAAACACTGGCCAAATATTAGTTTTTTGCTTTTTTTCACACAAAAACAAATATGAACGCTAACTTTGGCCAGTGTTTGTGACTAAATGGCTACTAAAAAAGACTAAACATACCCCATTTTCAATACCTTGGGTTATCTACTTTTTCAAATGGTATGCCATTATGGGGTAATTCTCATTCCTGGGCTACCACACTGTCTCAAAGGTAATATTACTAATCTGGCAAATTTCAATTTGAAAATGGAACGTTCTATATTTGACCCTGTAAGTTTCCAAAATACCATAAAACATGTTAATGGGGGGTATTGTTGTACTCGTAAGACATCGCTGATTACAAATATGTGCATTTTTGTCACAGTATTATGACATTCACAGCTAAAATGTCAGATGGAATTTGGAATTTTCCCACGCTGTGTAATTTGACTGTGTAATAAAAAACCATAATAACCGAGGCAAAAAAAAAAAAAAGACTGACAGGTAAGTCTCTACATTTACCTGTCACAGCACTCTGATTGGTTGGTTTGAAATCCACCAATCAGAGTGCTCTGAGCCTAATTGCAGGGCGGGGCAACGCTTTATAAGCCTTCCCCGCCCTGCAAAGCTCAGTCTGCGCAGAGCCCTTGCCGGGTGAAGATTGATTATTTTTTTTGCGCTTTTTTTTTTTTTTTTTTTTATTGCGTCGGTTATTATGGTTTTTTATTACACAGTCAAATTACACAGCGTGGGAAAATTCCAAATTTGACTCATAACAACACTCTGATTGGTGGATTGAAAGTAACCAATCAGAGTTATGAGTCAAATTACACAGCGTGGGAAAATTCCAAAGAACTTTCACACGCTGTGTAAAATGACACAGAGCACTCTGGTGGATTTCAAACCAACCAATCAGAGTGCTGTGACAGGTAAATGTAGAGACTTACCTGTCAGTCTCTTCATTTACCTGACAGAGCACTCTGATTGGATGGCTTAAACCCACCAATCAGAGTGCTCTGAGCCTAATTGCAGGGCGGGGCAAGGCTTTATAAGGGGTGGGGGCGGGGACAGTAGGTCCCCCCTCAATATATTTATGGCCCCCACCCGCTGCCCAGGGGTGGGGGCCGGGGGGAGGACAGTAGGTCCCCCCTCATCATCTTTATGGCCCCCACCCGCCGCCCAGGGTTGGGGGCCGGGGTGGAGGACAGTAGGTCCCCCCCCTCATTATATTTATGGCCCCCACCCATCGCACAGGGGTGGGGGCAATAGGTTTTTTTTTTTTTTACAGTGAGCAGCCACTGGCTGCTCACTAGACATGCCCCTACTCGCTGCATAGTGAGTAGGGGCAGAATTTACTAATACAAAGTAATCTTTACTTAGTATTAGTAAATGTGGCTGAAAGACCAATTTAGGTCTTTCAGCCTTTTAGTAGATAGCTCTCTAATACCGTGGGAATTAGGGAGTTATCTACTAAGCGGCTGCAAGATGCAGCCGCGGATCGGAGTTTGCATGCCACAGTCCAGGTGTTAGTCCCCTTGAAACAACTTTTCCATCACTATTGTGGCCAGAAGGAGTCCCTGTGTGTTTTAAAATTCGCCTGCCTATTGAAGTCTATGGTGGTTCGCCCGGTTCGCGGGTTCGCGAACATTTGCCGAAAATTTCATGTTCGCGACATCACTAGTTGTAAAGAACCGAAAATTGTCATTTGTTGTGTTTGCAGCATATTTTCTGAAATCAAAAGCTATTTCAATCAAACTTATAACAACATTTTAACTTTTTAAACATTTTAACAGGTCACGTTACACTTTAACATAGGACCCCTTATTTGATAGCAGCTTCACAAGTCTTGCATCCATTGAACTTGTGAGTTTTTGGACAGTTTCTGCTTGAATTTGTTTGCAAGATGTCAGAATAGCCTCCCAGAGCTGCTGTTTGGATGTAAACTACCTCCCACCCTCATAGATCTTTTGCTTGAGGATGCTCCAAAGGTTCTCAATAGGATTGAGGTCAGGGGAGGATGGAGGCCACACCATGACTTTCTCTCCTTTTATCCCCATAGCAGCCATTGATGCAGAGGTATTCTTTGCAGCATGAGATGGTGCATTGTCATGCATGAAGATGATTTTATTACGGAAAGCATAGTTCTTCCTTCTGTACCAGGGAAGAAAGTGGTCAGTCAGAAACTCCACATACTTTGCAGAGGTCATCTTTACACCTTCGGGGACCCTAAGGGTGCCGACCAGCTCTCTTCCCACGATTCCGGCCCAAAACATGACTCCACCACCACCTTGCTGACATCGCAGCTTTGTTGGAACAGGGTGGCCATCCACCAACCATCCACTACTCCATCCATCTGGACCATCCAGGGTTGCATGGCACTCATCAGTGAAAAGGACTGTTTGAAAATTAGTCTCCATATATTTTTCTGCCCAGTGCAGCAGTTTCTCGATACAACCCTATCCATGACTTGGCTCACCCATAAGGCAGTTATGTGGGGCCTTCTGATCAAACAAGCTACTCAATTACAACGCACATTGTCGGAAAAGAGCAACAAACTTTTAAAAGACCTGAAAGAGGTAGAGGACCAACATAAAACTTGCCCACGAAGCCTGTTGGAGATGCCACCAAGAGGCAGCTCATCATGCCCACATATGGTGGCAATGTCCGCTGATAGTAACCTATTGGAAGAGAATCCATACCATGACACAACTGTTGCTTCATGATACCATTCCATTCGCACCGCAACATTATCTGTTCTCCCTAGCTCCTCCAGGTATGAAGAGAGATACAGCCACTCTTTTCAGTTATTTGGTCATGGCGGCCACACAGCTCATACCTAAGTACTGGAAACACAGGCAAATTCCTTCTATTAGAGAGTGGATAACTAGGGTAAACAAAATCAGACAAATGGAAGAAATAACATACGCTCAATCGAAGAACTTCCAAACCTTCTCTAGACTCTGGAAACCGTGGCTAAACTTTCTGGCTTCCAGGCATACTGCCTCATCAAAACTCTAATACAAATACTGCTCCTCTCCTCTCTTCTTCCCCCCCATTGTTGACCAGCCGCTCCTTCTAGACATCTTCACATGCCGTTCCTTGAGACATCTAGATTTGTCTGAATCATGCTCCATCACGTCCGTTCTAACCCAATGTATCCATAACTCTAAACAAACGATTTACATTAAGCTCTGACTTACCCGTGATATTGATTACACGAGCTCACTGTGATATTTACCTACTGCTTTAACCAGCAATATTGTCTTAATTACGCTACACCTTATCGCCTTGTCAATACCTTTTTGTGGTCTTATTAAATATAACATTTCACATTTTTGTTCAATTGTTTGTAATATTATATTGTAATACCTTTCGTAACACTGCTTATCTATTCTGCTAATTGATCTATATACTCTGTTAACAAGCGGAACCTATGCAATTTGTATGTTTGTGACACACTGTTATATAACACTGTACATTCTATTTGCAAAATAAAAATTGATTACTAAAAAAAAAAAAAACTTGCCCACGAAGAACACTAGAACTCAGATGCTCAAGATCAGATCTGAGCTGGAGGTTCACCAACTCCAACAGGTACAGAGAGTGCTTTGCAAACTAAAAACTGACTATTACAGATAGGGAATTAGAGTGGAGAAACTCCTGGCCTCCCAACTGAAAGATACTGAAAGATAGATCCTCTCAAATGATGATATCATACCTACTGGATGGGACCGGCACAAAGGTGACCAACCCTAAAATGATAGTTGATGAGTTTGCAGCATGTTATGAGTCGCTGTATAATCTTTCCTCAGATCCCACCCAGCACCAGCTGACATGGACTGGAATACATGCCTTTCTTGATTGGGTGTGTCACCCCTATCTCTCTGGCACCCAGTTTGAGGAACTGGGCAGAAACATTACTGTAGGGTACATGGCCACTCCTAAGCACAAAGCATCAGGCCCTGATGGCTTCTCAACCCATTACTATTTGAAATTTCAGGAACAACTACTCCCACACTTGACAGCCCTATTCAATTCTATTCTAGAGACAGGTAGTATACTACCCGAAATGCTAGAAGCCACTATAGTCACTATCCCCAAACCAGGCAAACCAACTGTATCATGTGCCAGCTATCGCCCAATATCTTTATTAAACGCAGACACAAAGCTGTTCGTTAAGGTTATGGATACGTCCATTACTTCCTGAGATTATTTCCCCTGAGCAGGCAGGATTTTTCCCAGGCCACCAGGTGAAAGATAACACCAGATGAGCATTAGACATACTAGAATTCATGACACTTGGCAAAACTCAAGGCCTAGTACTCGCCTTGGACGCAGAGAAAGCCTTTGACCGACTCCACTGGGGCTACATGAAGAATATCACTTTAACTTCCCACCCAGACTTCAATGTGGCCTCCTAACCATGTACTCTTTCCCAACATCTACAGTGATAAACTCTGGCTTTGTCTCTCAACATTTTTCCCTTACCAATGGCACTCGGCAAGGCTGTCAAATTTCACCACTCATCTTTATTATAGCACTAGAGCCCTTGATCCACAAAATCAAATCAGACTGAACCGTAGTTGGAGTGCCATCCCCAAAAGGCCCCCTAAAAATAGCTCTGTTCACGGACAATGTCCTATTATTACTAGCGAAGCCAAAAGACTCCTTCCTACCCCTTCTACACACCTATGGGCAGGTGTTATACTATAAGAACAATGCTGCTAAAACACAAGCACTGTCGATGAACCTAACACACGCTCACCTCATGGAGCTACGAGCGTGCTACCCCTTTTGACTGGAGAAAAGTCACACTTTCTTATCTAGGGACACAGCTATGACCCTCAAAACATATTATTTTAAAACACAATCATGGGAAACTAGTGACGAAAACTGAGGCAATGTTAGATAGCTGGGGGAGAAAAAACTCTTCTTGGCTGGGAAGCATAAATGCCACAAAAATGATTGTCCCCTGCAGACCCTCTTCCTTTTCAGGGCCTTGCTAATCAAGATCCCCAAAACAATCTTAATGCAGTTTTAATGTATGTTGAATGCTCACATATGGAAGAGGAAACCACAGAGGGTATACATATATTAATACTTGCTATTAATATATAGTCCCTCTTTATTAGTATTTACGTCATTCTGCCCAGCTCCATACACATAATTCTATTTTATATTTTGGGTCAGAATTTCTTCATCACATGTCTGGTTTTATCGAAATTATTCTTTCATAGTTAGTGACTATATCTTTTTTCAGAAGACATTTTCTTTACAATTTTCTGGTTTGTTTTTGAAGTTTTTTTTATTTTAAGTAAACATTTAAAAGTAAATTTTTGAAAGTGAATGTTTTAAAATGTATTTAATTTTTCTATTATTTAGTCAAGAGTTAATTTACTACTCTATATGGCTAAGACTATATACATCTATGGATATTTTGATTAATAACCAATTGTCTTTGATTATACCAATAAGAAAATGTACGTTAACAAAATATGGTAGATATGAGGTATACACAGAACTTTCAGGATCCATTTGGTGACTCACCTATTCCTTCAAAGTCGTATACAAATTTATGAAAATATTCTATAAATTGGCAGTGATTAAAAATAAATTCAAATAAAATGCTTTTAATTGCAATGCCTTTTATGCAATTATTATAAGCTATTAGGGTACTGTGGTTTTTTTTTTTTTTTTTCAACACTGAATGTCAGCCACTGATACTACAGACTGGATGTGTGAGCAAATGTTTTGTTCTTCCACGGGTGGAAGGGGTGAGTGGGTGGTGTTTGGCCCACAGATGTTTATCTTTCATTTTTAGAAAAATTATTTTTTTTCATCTTAATATGACTGTTTTACTTCAATACAATTTACAAAAAAAACTTCTCCAACTATATTTTTAATCCAGATATATAATAATCTAATTTTGGCAACTCAGAATTGGCTATACAAAAAATGTCAGTAATTGCGTAGCCACTAGGCTAGGCAATATATTATCAGGTCAGTATACAAAAAGGGGCATTTTTGGCTGTCCAAATTTAATTTCTGATTTTTGTTTAACTGATAACATTTTTGACAAGTCAAAGCGTAGCATGGACTAAATTCTGTCATCATAATTTTTCTTCTCTTTCATTGCACCAGTAGGAAAAACTTCTGTTATTTAAATGAACGTAGGCATTTTGGATAGTATATAGGTAACCTTTTTTATACATTTAGGATATCAATATAAGCTGCACATATCATATAATTAATACTTATTTAGAGTCAATGATATACAACCATTGTTCAAATATCCTTCCCAAGTGTCTGTTTTATTGTTGTTACAGTCTTTATTAAAATTTGCTATTTAGTTTATTTTTCACTGTGTTACTATTCAAATAGTTAAAATGTTTGGTTGTTGTACTATTGTACTGAATGTTCCCAATAACACCTCACTAAATGGAAATCCAGCCCAATGATTTATGATTCTGGATTCTACACATGGGGCAGTGGCTGATTGATAGGAAAAATGATGATTGATGTCTAGAAGACAGTGACTAAATGTTGATTTTATTCACAAATTAATTGAGAAGTGATCAAAAGAGGGGGGGGGGGAAGGAGGAGCGGTAAAAAATGTTTACAAAATCTATATTTATATATTTTTGTTTTAGATTTTTCTTTTACTTTTTCTGTTTTTCCTTTTTCAAAATTTGTCTAGCTTGATCTCTTAACCAACCAACTAAAAAGGCACATATCAGTGTACTGAAAAATGTATATGAACATTTATATGATATATATATATTGCAGGACCCTGATTGGCCACTATTCACATCCTTTTAATTTCTCTGATTAGCTAATGGTATGGCAGATGCTACACCCTAACCCATCATTTAAGAAATACTGACAAATGTCAGTTAGATCAGTTTGCTGTTGGATCAAAGCTTCTTAATTCGTGTTTTTTTTTTAAGAGTGCAATAGTGCTCTACCCCACATAACTTGCTAGTATATTCCATTTAGGAAAATGGAGAACACAACTTTCTTTTCTAGTTGTTACCTGCTGCTGAAGAGAAATGTTACTGAATTGCATGACCTGAAAGATAACTGTGGAGCGGATTAACATATAACCATAGACTGAATATGTCTATACTTTTATTTTTTTTAAATTAAATATTATCATTGGGTATATATGCAATATAAAACAATTTATAAGACATACATAGTTTTGAATGAATTGTTAGCCATATATATTTATTTTAAACAATGTGAAAAGTTATGTTTTAATCTGTTCTACACTTGCACTTCTGGTCATCCACTTCGGTTACTTAGTAATTACAGTGTTTAGTCCCATTTTAAATGTTATTTTTCTAGCACACTTTTTCTTGTGTTCTAGAAGTCACAAATGCATCTACTTGTGGATTCCTTTGAGTCGGGGAAAGCCCTGCTGGAACTCCTGTTGGATCTGGGCTTGCTACCAAAGACACCAGTACATTATTTATTGACTTACAAACAAGTTGTTGGAGATTTAAATATATGAGATATGAGACTCTTTCTCTTTTTTTTTTTTTTTTCTTCTATTGAATATGCAATTAAGAAAATCTGCAAGGACATCAAGATAAAAGGTAAAGACAGGATCAAAGTCCATTGAGTAGATACAGCGCACATGCTCATATCTTACCTAATAATTTCTGTCAGTACTATTCTACAAGCAAACAGGCTATGTGACCTATTGTTCATCCATTAAGTGCTTATTGTGTGCATATTTATACCAAATAGAATAAGCTTAATGTAAACTCTAAATATGTTTAAAAATACAGTGCTTTAGCTGCAGTACATGACAAGAGAAAAAGATGCAACATTGACCACTTACCTTTTTTAGATGGCAGAGAAATGAATGAAGGGTTTTTTGTAGGGGTTTTTTGTAAATTCATATGGCTACAAACCAGCCAAAAATCTGGGCAGCAGTCTACATGTCCTACTGGTTCCTGGTCACAGAATCTATCACAGTAACACGTTGAATTTTTTTGGATGTATGGGACACTGCAGTCATCATCTCTTTTTTGACAGCAGCCACGCTTGGCACAGTATCTTTCTACATCCAATGATCTTTTCACTTTACTTTCTCTAAAAAGATTGTGTTCTTCTGCAGAATATAAATGTGTCATTAAGTTCCTTCCTGAAACTAAATATTCAGGTAAAACGATACACAGCACCATACTGAAGAAAAATATTTTTTTCATGATTTTGCAGTTGTTGCAATCCAAATTTTCCCACAAATAACAATGGAACCTTGTGAACAGCAAGGTAGCTTTAGATTAAATTAAAGTCTCACATAGTATGAACTTTCCTATGTCACTTTGATTAAAAATTAACCAGAATTATTGAATGATTAGCTTGTCAATTTGCTCAAGCTGTAAAACTTTAAAACACTTTAACTGTCATTTATAGTGATAAGCAAACAATTTGAAGCATAGGCGTGCCCAGCCTGTTACATTAGGGTGTGCACCCTAATGCACAAACACACACGCTGCGTGTATATGTATTTATATATATATATATATATATATATATATATATATATCGTGTATGATTCTGAGGGGTGCAACGTGTAAGGGGTGCAGTGTGTGTGATTGCGAGGGGTACAGTGTGTGTGTGTGTGTGTGTGTGTGTGTGTGTGTGTGTGTGTGTAATTGTGAAAGGTACAGTGTGGTGTACTTGTGAAGGGTTCAGTGTGTGTGATTGTGAGGGGTACAGTGTGTGTAATTGTGAGGGATGCAGTGTCTGTGGGGTACAGTGTGTATGATTGTGGGGGCTGTAGTGTGTGGGAGGTACAGTGTGTGATTGTGAGGGATGCAGTGTGTGGGGGGTACACTGTGTGTGATTGTGAGGGGTGGGTTGTAGTGTGAGAGAAGCTTTGCAGGCTAGGATAGGGGGTCTGAGAGGGGAGCAGCTTTTTAAACTTAATATTTTTTAAAGTGCTTACCCCCCCCTCTCTTCCCTCCTTGTTTCTTACCAGCATCCATGGAGGAGGAGTGGTCAGCATATTCCCTGGTGGTCCGGTGGCACTGTAGGGCTCTTAACCTTCACCTCTGCAGTTCTGCCGGGCTTCTGGCTAGTGGGGTGAATGGTGATAGTGTGTGTGCGTGGGGATGATAGGGTGTGGGTGGGGTTGATGGTGTGGGTGGGGGTGATGATGGGGGTAGAGGGGGGCTGTGACAGGGTGTGTGTGTGTGTGTGTGTGTAGGGATGATAGGGTGTGAGTGGAGGTGACAGGGTGGAATGGCTGTGACTGGGGCTGCGGTGGGTGAGGGGATGTGGAGGTACAGTTACAGGGGGTAGAGTGGGAGGAGCAGTGACAGGGGGCGGGGGGATGGAGGAGCAGTGACAGGGGGTAAAGGGGCAGCGACAAGGGATATGAGGGTTTAGAGGGACAGCAACAGGGGTTGGGGGGTGGAGGGGCAGTGACAAGGGGTGGAGGGGCAGTGACAGGGGGTATGGGGGTTTAGAGGGACAGCGACAGAAGTTAGGGGGGGTGGAGGAGCAGCGACAGGGGTTGGGGGAAGAGGGGCAGTGACAGGGAGTAGGGAGGTTTATAAATTCCTTCCCTGGTGGTCCAGTGTGTGCCTTCTCTCTTCAGTCTGCAACTCCGCCGGGAGTGAGCTGCAGACCGCATGGTGAGTCTCGCGATCTCCAGTCAGAGCATTGCCGTGGCAACGCTCTGACAGGTTGTAGATCGCGAGACACCTCAGTCTGCAGCTCACTCCCGGCGGAGCTGCAGACTGATGCTGGATCTCCGTTAGGGCAGACTGACAGGAGGGGCCTCGCACCCGGCGGAATTGTGGGCAAACCGCCGGGCCCCCTCCTGTGTATGACCGAGGACCCGACATGTTAGTCTGCCCTAAGGCAGTGCAGCACGGAGGTGTGATTAGGCTGTGCCCAGGCACACCCCGTGCTCAAGCCTATGATTTGAAGTATGTTGAACATGGGGAAAGGTGATTGGAAGTTTCTTTCCTTTCTCATTTTACTTTGGTTTACATACCTACTAAACTATGCTTTATCAAGAGACCTTTAGTCCCTATGGTAGACTTATTTTTGGGTATCCTCATATATCTCTCTGTGTTTCTTTTTATTCTTCAATGGTCTTTTCTTTGTACACATACATAGATGCACACTCAAACACAAACATAGATACATATACAAATGCATGCAGACATAGTTATACAAACACACATACCGTGTCCTCCACTAATAAAAGTATTTTATTTTAAAATAAAATACTTTGCTCTCCTTGATATAAACTTTGTTAAATATATGTGTGGCACAATAATTGGCCAAATCTAGGCTAATATAATAGTAATTAAAGAAATATTTCTATAATAATGTTTTTTTTTTTTTTTCTTTTGTATTGCATAAGCTGGGATGCAAGGAGTTTTAGAAAAGTTATAGCTATTTAAAAAAATAATACTAAAATAGTGTCAGCTCTTTAGACAATAATCCCCATAAAAGCAATGTCTCTGGGTAGTCTTAATATCATCATCATCATCATCATATTAATATAGTGAAGAGTCCCAGAATTGGTTATCCACCTCCACAGCAGGTGGGTGTTAAAATATGTATTCACCTTGTTTTAATCCAGTAAATCAGATACTCATATTCAGAGTGTTATATTGTTCCAAATTTACCTTAAAAGATACAAAAAACTAATTGTAGTATAACACTGTAGATTTATACGTGATAAAAAAAAAAAAAAGACTAAATGGAAACTCTTACACAGTAAAATAGTGGTATAGATAATCGGGTAATCCAGAGGAGGACAGACAAGCAGTTCAGTCACAAGGATATATTACCACTCCGTCGGGTATCTGGTATGTAGCAAGTCCTGAAACACCAAGCTAAGTAGAAATAAACCAACCCAAGGGACGCCAAAATGAAATGCTGCTCAAGTAGTCTGTGCATTCTGTAATGGATACCGGCAAAAATCTCAGCGTTTCACCCAAGCTTAGTGGGCTTTTTCAAGATGGGGAGGTAGCTATGCTCATTGGTCCTTATTTATCCACAACTGTTAAATTTTAAATTGAAGCTGTGTTAAACGGATGGTTGATACCGTGACAGGCCTTTTCCTGTGTCTTACTACTCTTCCTAAAATGTTCCAATTTGTTTGTTTTCGGATATATTTATGGACATATATTAATTCAAAATAGTTAATTAGATAATATTGATCAGTTCTAGTTCTGCATGCAACCCAAAGGGAACCAAAGTTTTTACATTAAATATACAGAACATTTCTCGATTTGTAACTATTTTGCCCAAATCACCACCTCTCCATTAGATGTTTATACGTTGTATCCCACAGTATTTTGGCATTCCATATAGTGTTTCAATAAAGTGTGGTTGACAAATTTCCTTTTTATATTAAAAACATGTTCCCTGAGTCTTGTTTTCAACATTCTTTTTGTTTGTACTCTATACTGAAGACCACATCAGCACTCCAACAAGTAAATAAGTATGTAAAGCAGTTTTCAATATAACATGTTTTATTTGTATTATGCGATTGAAAATTTAAAGTTTTTCCAAATAGAGTTCCTGATGTTTTGCATATATTGCACTTCCTGCATTTAAAAAAAAAAACCTTTTTGACTGAGTGAGCACTTCCTTTCAGTCCGGCCGGGTACAGGAAACAGAACAGAAGACATTAGGCTGTTAGTGTAGGACCTGCCAAAGATGGGGTACATTGACGTTGTGGCAGGCTTATGCAATGTATGATCATATAATGTAACTAAACCCCCATTATTTTAGCCTAGATGAGGTGTTTAAAAAAAAAAAAAATACAATCTTTCAACATTGAAGTTGCTTTTTAGTGAATAGGTGAGTGCGCTGGATCTTGTGTAATATATATATAAAAAAGAGATGCACTCTAAGGTCCCTGAAGGGTCGAAATGTCGGTCAGATGATGTAACTTCTTTTTGGAATAAATACTAACAAATTTTTGACAAGACCTTAGAGTACATCTTTTTTTTTTCTTTCTATATATCCTAAACGTGGGATTGCATCAAGGCATTAATACATCAAGTTTATGGAAGATAGGGTGAGTGCCAAGCTTTCTATTTTATTTATCTATATCTATATCTATATCATTTTTTTAAATTAATTTTATTTATTTATAGATATATATAGTGATATATACGTATATACTTATGTATATAGATATATATATTATTTTGTTCTACGTGTATTTTGATATCAATATATACATATATATCAATTTTAAAATACGTAAGAACAAAATTACACACACATATATATATTTTTTTTAACATATTTACATAAATATAGTGTATATATAATGATAACTATATATATTTAATCAATATCATTGTACATGTACAAGACTATGTATGTGTATTTATGTATATGTGTGTGTGTGTGTGTGTGTGTGTGTGTATATACTTAGATCATATATATATATATATATATATATATATATATATATATATATATATATGATCTAAGTATATATTTTTTAATTTTACACTGTTTTAAATGTTGGTTTTTTTTTGTTGTTTTTGTTTTTTTCAGACAGCAGGGGGAGTATCTGTCATTACAGGCACTCCCCCTGCTGGCAGTGCCTTGGACAGCTATGCAGTCAATGTGATTGCGAGAACCTCGCAAGCAAGGACCTCGTGATCACATGGCCCAGGGGGGCCAAAGAGGAAGGTGGGGGATCCCTGGGCTCCCAGGTAAGTCCCCATATCGCGATCACTGGCGTGGGATCACCGGCGACCGGGTAAGTACATAGGACGGCGGGGACGTGCTATGCAGCCCGCCGGCGTTTAGAGCCAGGTCCCTAAGGATGGCATAGCATGTCCCCCATCCTTAAGAGGTTAAGGGGTTAAAGTGTAAAGCAGCTATTTTTATGTTTTTGATATTTTAATAATTGACAAATGTTTAATACTATTGTGCTCTTTCGTTTCTATATATTATTTTTAAAAATGCTGTCGGTATTAGCCTCTCTTCACTCTGTAATACTACTGTGACCCAATGTCAAAT